TATCTATGTATCTATGTATCTATGTATCTATGTATCTATGTATCTATGTATCTAATCTATGTATCTATGTATCTATGTATCTATGTGTCTTTGAATCTATGTATCTATCTATCCATCTATCTATCTATCTATGTATCTATGTATCTATGTATCTATGTACCTGGACATCAAAAACCTGCATTTTTTGGTCTGGACTGAAAAGTAGTGAACGACCAAAAATCGAACAATTGCTGAATTTGCCCTCTGCCAGTCACATTTGGAAGGACCAAAAATATGACGCAAAATGACGCAGAAAAGACGCGAAAGACCAACTTTTTGACACCAAAACTGTGTCATTGAACCCATCACTCTTAGCCCAAAAGTGATCTTTAGGCCTGCACCCGAAAATCCACAAAGATCGAAAATTATTCGGCTCAAGGACTGTCCAGGTATGTATGTGTGTATGTCTGTAGGTGTGTAGGTATGTACATATGTGTACGTCTGTAGGTGCGTACGTGTGTACGTGTGTACGTGTGTACGTGTGTACGTGTGTATGTGTGTACGTGTGTATGTGTGTATGTGTGTATGTGTGTATGTGTGTATGCGTGTATGCGTGTATGCGTGTATGCGTGTATGCGTGTATGCGTGTATGCGTGTATGCGTGCATGCGTGCATGCGTGCATGCGTGCATGCGTGCATGCGTGCATGCGTGCATGCGTGCATGCGTGCATGCGTGCATGCGTGTATGCGTGCATGCGTCTATGCGTCTATGCGTCTATGCGTCTATGCGTCTATGCGTCTATGCGTCTATGCGTCTATGCGTCTATGCGTCTATGCGTCTATGTGTCTATGTGTCTATGTGTCTATGTGTGTGTGTATGTGTGTATGTGTGGATGTGTGGATGTGTGTATGTGTATGTATGTATGTATGTCTGTCTGTCCGTCCGTCCGTCGGTCTGTCTGTCTGTCTTCGGTCTGTGTATGTGTGTATGTGTGTATGTATGTGTGTGTGTATGTGTGTATGTGTGTATGTGTGTGTATGTGTGTATGTGTGTGTATGTATGTGTGTGTATGTGTGTATGTGTGTGTGTATGTGTGTATGTGTGTATGTGTGTATGTGTGTATGTCTGTATGTCTGTATGTATGTATGTCTGTCTGTCTGTCTGTATGTCTGTGTGTGTGTGTACATATATGTATGTATGTATGTATGTATGTATGTATGTATGTATGTACGTATGTATGTATATATGGAATGTATGTAATGTATGTAATGTATGTAATGTATGTATATAATGATAATGTATGTAATGTATGTAATGTATGTGATGTATGTGATTCTGTATGTATGTATGCCTGTCTGTATGTCTGTATGTCTGTGTGTCTGTGTGTTTGTGTATGTGTATGTAAATGTATATTCATATGCATATGTATCTGTATGTACATATTTTTACGTGTATAGAGAGAGAGAGAGGGGGAGTTGAATGTGGAAGCAGAAATTGTTATGATTGGTCTTGGAATGTTCACATTCCAAACCCATCCGAGAGGGTCTGCATCATTTTTTTGAGAACACGGTGCATCAGAGGCTTCACCAGGTCCCACAAAAAAAAATGCAAAACATCAGAAAAGGGATGAAAAGGGTAGAAACTTACCAGCAAATGAGAGAGCTCAGAGAGAATTGCCTGCATGCTTCCACGCCTTCAGCACCCAAGACATAGTCCTCACTTCCAATCATCATCATGATGGGCGTTTCCACGTTGCGTCGCTCCTTGATGAGTCTTCCACCAGCTGACATCAACGACGGGCACCTCATTTTCACCATATCACAGAAACGAAGTTTCAGGTCTTGAAATCTTGGGATGTTCAAATCTTCCTAACCAATCTCTGCATACCATCTCTACACTCCTCCTCGGGATGATGAAGATCAAGAATGCAGCATTTGAACGCAGTTGATGTGGCATTAACATGCATTAATCAAATGCTAGGTGCTAGGGCACTAGGGTTTCATATGTCCCGACGTGTGCATGACTTCTATGCAACTTCGTTATCCTCTGCAGTTTGTAGAAATCCCCATGCCGAAGGAGACACTGGGACCCACAGCCCAGGCACATCATAATGGCCGCTTTCACTCGTGGGTCACTCTCTTCCAAGCATGCTGCAGTGGTCCAACCACCAAAGGACATGCCAGTGAGAGCAGTGAGATTCACATTGACACGGCCCGCAAAACGGCTGTCCTGCAGTCAGAAAATCCGCGACGTGTTGATTTTTGTGCCTCCCCATGCACTACAGCCTGTACCCCGGCTCTTCCTCTGGGGGCCCTTTTTCTGTTTCCAATATTCTACGGGCTTGCAAAGCCACAGCCCATGCGGCCCATGCGGCATCCCATCCCAGAGTCATCCCAGATCTCCTGGCCACCCGCCAGCTTCGACATGGCATCCAGCAGAAACATGACATCCTTGGGTCGGTCTGCTTCCATTTGCGGCCGCTCGCTCCGAGCTCCTCCTGGCTTAACCACTCGACCGTTCACCTGGGTATATCTGGCACTGCCAGGGTGGTCGCAGGCCATCACCACAAAGCCCTGAGAGGCCAAAAACTCAGTGAAGAAGATATAGCTGGCGCGGTAGGCCCCAGAACCATGAGAGAAAATCACTAAAGGCCATCCAGTTTTGGTGTCAGGATCTCTGATCCGTGCATCTCGGACGGCTTCATTTGGCCAGGTTTCATCCAGTTCCTTGATGGTCAAATCATTTCGGTATCCTCCAATGGCATTCTCTGCTTCAGCTGCTTGGATGCTTCCAGGAATGGCTCCCCGGCCCAGAAAGTCCGAGAAGCGATTCCGGGGCAAATCTCTGGCTTCATCACCAGCTGGATACCAAATCTCCTTCGTGGTGGATTGAGAGGTTCAAAAATACATTAAAATAATTATATATGTGAAGGTCATTTCGGGTGATGGTCTCATTTTTTGGACAAGAATAGGACGGAGAACCAAGAGCATCTTTTGGGTTCGGAAGATAATTATGCGATGTATATCGGGTTCCTATGCCGCCTATGCCCCACCAAAAAAATGAAACAATTGGTGGACAATTCAAAATTGACAAAAAAATGAAAATATACAAAAATGAAACTGACCAAAAAAAAGAAAGCGATAAAGCGGCAACCAGTCTCTGTCTGCAAACTTCTGGGCCCTGACTCCGGATCCTGTCTTGTCAGGTCATCTAGCTGCATCGTCGTCACCCCCACCGGAAAGGGCCCCGGCGGCAGCCCCGTGACACGCGACACGGAGGCCATGGCCATGGCACGTGGTGTAGCACTACGCAGGTGCAGCAGGCGCAAGGAGAAGGCAGTGCAGAGCAGAGTTCTCAAACCTGGGCGGCCCATGGCCAAGCTGCGGGGGTCTACCTGTCCTGTTTGAGAAAAGGCGGGAGCCCCCTGGGATCCGGGTGCCAGTTGCCTACTCCACGTTTTTGCCTATTATTATCTATTATTGTAAATTTGCAGCAGGGCTCTGAGTCCTCGGGTTTCAGGCATATCTCAGGTATTTTTTGTTGTTATTCCCATGACAAGTGTGTTCCCATTTGGGCCAGCAGCCACTGCTTGCCCCAACTCCCCAGAGCAGCTCCTGAAAGGCTGAGACAAAGGCTCCTTCCACAGAACCTCAGGCCCAAACATCTGCTTCGGACATTGGGCCTCCAAACATCTCAAAACAAGACCAAAAAAAAAAACGCGAAATAGTAGAACGGATTTGATGTGCTCTGCTTCAAGCCCTGTGGTTGTGAGGCTGCCGCTTGCCTTCCTTTTCTGTGGCAGCAACCAAGACATCACACTTCCCAACCCTTTTCATCTCAGATTATTTTGGCACTGGCTCCTGGCGTGTTAGGCGAGCTTCACTTGGGCACTGGGCATCTGGGGGCCCCGCAGTGGAACATCTGGTCGAAAAGGAGGAGGCCAAACCTCAGATGAGCCTAGTTCCATCACAGTGCATGATGGCATCAATAAGATTGTTGAGTTTCGGCTATGTTCTAAGTGATCTTGAAGTATCTAAGAATCTATCCAAAGGTTAGTAAGTATCATGCTTGTATCATGCTTGTATCATGAAATATCATGAAATAAACCTTACTGGAAGGCAGCTCAGCAAACGCTGGGCCTCGGGCAAATCGCGAAGAACTGCACCCTCACAGTGGATACCGCATTGGAAGTTCCCTCCATCACCCAAGTAGTGCTGCATGGCCAGTTCTTCTACTGTCAGCTCTTCCAGGCGAAATCCTCAGTCGCCGCTGGGCCATGGGTCAAAAGATTTTGAGTGCCTCAAACTTGAGCTGAACCTCAGTACTTGGGGACCTGGGGATGTTTTGCCCCAATTTTCCAGGCATTTCGATCTATACAGCCAGCCAAGTCATGCCAAGTCATGCCAAGTCATGCCAACTCAGCATCAAAGTGCCACCTGTCACAAGCGCCCAAGCGGCCATCAAACATCCTGCGCCGCCCAGCGCTGCCGTTGCTTTCAGCAGGTGCCACTTGTGGCAGTCCCAGCTTCGTTGCGGTCAGGTTCCGAATAGGTCCTGGTCCGCATTGCGGTCCGAAGATAGGAGGTCCGCAGCTGGTGGTTGCAACATCTTGCAACAACTTTGCAACTCATTGAACAATGTTAGTCAAGTCATCATTTCAAGATATCTCAGAAGGAAGGGATAGAGGAGGGTGAGATGGAGAAGGTGAAAGAAACAAAGGGGGAGATAATAAAGGGACAGGTATATAGTTTTTTCCTCGGGCGGGCAAACACTGCGAAAAACCGAAACCTTTCCCTACTCTCATACCGCCTTAGCACAATCCCAAAAAGTTACTCGGACCAAAGGAATCGAAGCTCTACCGTCAACAATTCGCCCACTGGTGCATAACCCTAAACGCGCTCCCGCACCACCCTTCTCCCGCAACGAGTTCCCAAGGCACCGCGAGATTTGAACACCTCTCGGCAGCCACTACCCCCCACACCCCCACTTCTCACTTTGTTCGAAGCGGACAACTTAGCCGAGTTTGTTGGATCTCTCGGCTGGCTTTCGTAATGTCAAACAGGAATGGAATATGGGCAACATTTGTACAGTATCCAAAGGCCAGTTGAAGATACTCCCTCTCTCTCTCCCCTTGCTGTTTGCCCTCCTTCGTATCCATGTCCGCAATTCGTCACAACCTCAGTTAATGGTAATCCCATTTTTACAATCAATGGACTTCCCTAACCCTTGGGATACGATTGCCTCCTACATAACGATGGTTTCCAACCAATTTTCAAGTATTGCCAGTGCCAGTATGATGGGAAAATGATGCGAATCCCAACTTGGGGGAGTAATGGTTACGGTATAACTATGGTGATAACCCCCAGAAGTTGGGATATGTTGGGATATAAAACCTATAACTATGATGAAATATCTCAACTTACAACATCTTATAACTATGCAACTTCTCCATTTGTCCCCGCTATATCATAATTTCGATATGTCAGAAGTTTCATTTCCGATTTGTTATAGTATGTTATAGTTATTCACCTGCAACTGGAAGTGCACCGGGCGGCCCCATGGGCCCCGGTCCTGTGGCATTCTCCTCTTCTTCAACGAGGCGACTGACCAGCTCAGAGAGCCACTTGCCATCGCCCTCAGACTCCGCAAGGGGATTAGCAGACGTTTCTTCATGTCAACATTAGTCAACATGTTTGCGACTTTTCGAAAGTATGCAACATGAAGGGTTAACGCGCCGTTTTTTCTGACCCGCATTTTGTTCTACATGATACATGTCTCAACATGGCTGGTTACACGTGGTTCAACTTACTAAACGCCACAAGAACACGTATATAACGCCTCGAATGAACTTTACATGCTTGTCAAGGAGCATCTGCCTGCGCGGCCTTCACACGGATGCCCAGGACGAAGATTTGAACAAATAGAGGTGTTGAAATTAGATCTGACAATGACAACTACCGGCATCTGAGCCTCTATCTACATCATCCTCCTTATCCACATCAACCTCATGCTCATCCACGTCATACACATCATCCTCATTACCCGCATCATCCACATCATCCACACCATCCACATCATCCACACTATCAACATCATCCATATCATCCACATCATCCACATCATCCACATCATCCACACAATCCACATCATCGACATCATCATTATATATCATTATCCTGGTAGTTATAGTGTCATTGCTTCTTGTCCCTGTCATCCCCATGTTTTTGTTCATTACCTCCCAACCTTATCTCATTTTATCGTTGCCTTATGTTGCCTTCCCCCTATCCCTCACATAGTGTCGCCTCATACATCCCTATCCGCATCGTTTCCACCAAGGAAACCCTGATTGTCATGCTTTCCCTAGGATCAACATCAATCATCCCTGATTTTTTTCCCCAGAAATCATCCATTTTCCTCCAGTTCCCGTTGAATTTTGTCCACCAACAAACCTGTCCTCGCCTGGGTTTTTTGCAGCCGCAGCCTCCAGGCATTCTTGGCCTTGGCCTTGCCGTGGGCCGGGGCCGCTGCCTTGGCCAAGGTGCGGCATCTCCGGGCCAGGTCCCAGCCTCGGTTTTCAGATGGTGGTGAAACAATGTGAAGGATTAGGATGTGTGTGATATGTGATATATATAATTATACATACACAATTATACACATATATATATATATAATAAAACATTATGGTAAACATTATGGTATAACATACCCTCTGGTAAACATACAAAAAGCTATTGAAAATGGCCATAGAAATAGTGGATTTTCCCATGAAAAATGGAGATTGTCCAGTTCGCTATGTTAGTCATTACCAGAGGGTAGGATGACTCTAGGGAAAAATCCATGAATCATCACTGAGCCAAAACGTCGCCAATCATGCGAAAAAAATCTCTCACTTTGGGAACTGCTTACCGGAAGATACTCGTTGCACTTGATACCACCCATCATGCACAGATCCCAAGATTGTAAGACAATCACTGAAATAATTATACAATTGAAATGAGAGGAAGCAAAAGCCAAAATGAATTTGCTTGAAATTGTGAGCTTCCCCATGCCAAGCATATGCACTTGCGTCCGCGCTGCGGGCATCGCGTGGCAAAGGCCTGAAATGATCCTCCTTGGACTCATCATTCACCTTCAAAACGATCAAAAAGCTCAACTTCTGCGCCCAATACTTCCCAGTGGCACCAATGAGACATATTTGGCATACCTTCATGTTTGATCGTTTTTGGGGATACTAGGGGCACCAATGACCGGACACGCTTTCATACCTCCTGGGAAGAAGCCATTTCACTGGTCAGGTCCACTGTGGCAGGAGGTCTTGCCTTAGCTTGCCACAGGTGGGCCTGCCGTGGAGCTTGAGCTTGGTTCAGACCTCTAAGTCTCCACACATCTCCGGGGGTGACAGGATTGCAAAGATTATGGATGTGCAAGGTTCTTTTGGACTGTTCTGACGCAAAATTCCTTGCAGCCTTCCAGCCACAGCCCCATTTCACCAGGGTCAGGGTTGGAGCCCAGATGAGCCCAGCTACCATGTCCATGCCCTCCGCAAGGCCCTGGGCTGCGATCTCCATGGCCACAGCGACACCTTTGGTTCTTGACACTTCTTTGGCCAATTCCTGGGCTCCACGCCATCCGACGGCATCCGACGGCATCCGACGGCATCCGACTGCATCCGACTTCCCAAACCAAGCCAGGTTGACAGCTGCCTCTTTGTACTAGCTTCATCCACTCGAGGTGGAATTCCCATATCGTACCGGAAGGGACAAAATTTTTGGCAGTCTAGCAGAGCAGTTCTGATATTCCTGCATTTGAATCTATATTTCCAGCCTGCCAAAGCCCAAGGTGTCCTCGGTTCCCAGATTTCCCACCAAGGCTCCGCATACCAACGGCCCCGTTTGGAAGTGCACAGCTTGGTGCTGAGTAGCAGCTCCAGCCGCCGGATTTTGGCACTTTGAAGTTCTGCATCATGACCTTAGCAGCGGATTCTTCCAATAATATGCTGGCCATCAGTAAGACATAGTAAGACCCTCAAAAACTATCATGATCAATTATGTCGTATCATGTCCAAGTATGGCGCTATGGCCAAGTTCGTCAAGTTCGCCATGGCGACCGTCCTCAGGAACTGGCCCACAGCAGGAGAATTTGTCACTGCGTGATGGAGTGCCTCGGCATAACACCAGGCCGCTGTAAATCGGCGACGGAAGGGATCCCGCAACTTGGCTGCCTGGCGTGGGGAATCATCGGCAAAAGCCCTTGAAAATGTCTTGAAAATTGGTCGAAACAGTCGAAACACAAAAAAAGTCATGAAAATACTTGGAAACACAGTAAGTCATGGGAAATCACTTCCATCCATCATCTGACCTGGAATCTTCCGGGACGTTCTTTCATTCCTAGTCCTAGTCTCCATGTTTGATTCATCTCTCCAGTGCTCCATTTGCACAGATAGCCCCAAAGAGATCATGGCCATCTGATCCATCTGCAGCCTCAAAGTCATTGGCCGCGGATGATGCTTGCCGCAAGCCTTCCTCAGCCACGCTGGCATCACTCTCAGCACTTTCCAACGTATGTCGCTGGAAGTCCTGGAGGGATACAGTGGGAGATGAAGCTGAAAATGAATGGGATATTGCCAGCAGGTGGGATACATGTACGGTTTATATTACTACCAATTTTATATTTATATATATTTATATGATTTGTTATTTACTTGTTTATCTATTCATTTATGTATTTATTTACTTATTTACTTAATGATTTACTTATTTCTCTCCATTTATTAATTTATTCATTTATTTATCTATGTCCCTCTCTTTGTTTATTTGTTTGTTTGTTTATTTCTCTATTGTATCTATTTATTTATCTATTTATTTATTTTATGTATTTCTATGTATTTATTGATTTGTTTATTTATCTCTATGTATGCGTTTATTTATTTGTTTGATTTTTTTGTTTAATTGATTTTTCTCTCTCTCTCTATTTATTTATCTATCTGTTTATTTATTCATTCATTTATTAATTTGTTTATATCTCTCTGTCTCTCTCTCTCTCTATTTATCTATTTATTTATTTATTTGTTTATTTGCAGTTATAGACAGACAGACAGACAGATAGATAGATAGACAGACAGACAGACTTTTATGTCTATATATATATATTCAATCATCAATTGTGTAGTTCCATCCGGTGCCATAAAGCGAATACCACAAGATCCATCAGAAAACAAACGGGATGTTGCATGTGAGAAATCCGGCTGCATCAATTGAATAGAATATCACCAGCAACCATTGGCATGTGATCAGTGGAGACGGTCTCAGCCATCCAACACCCACTGCCCCAAGGAAGCGAGGCCTCCCCAGCCACCATCGCGCGCGCTGCCAGAAAGTTGTCCAGGGACTCGCGATCTGCGAACAGCGGCCGTGCCTCCTTCGACCAGGACGGGTTCGGACCCATGTTACATGTATTTACATGTGTCATCATCAAGTTAGATCCTATGACTGGGTGTGCGCGATGCCCCACAAAAATACAAAATTCAAACGCTACATCTATTGAATCTGTTAAATCTATTGTGGTTTTTGCCACCTGGGATTCAGCGCCTGGAAGGAAAACTCTGGCCACTTCGTGGTGAAGAGCACGAAGGAAACCTCTGCTGCTCCGCAACTTTCGGTGCGAAAGAGCTCTCCCAGCAGCACCAAGGTGCGACGCCCCCAAGAATCGGCACAGCACAACCAGCGCCCCAAACGCAAGGCTTGCGAGACCAGTGCCTGGCTCAAGGCCATGACGTTGCGACTGACGATCTCATCACATACAATCCTACACACATTATATAGTCATAGTCATAGTCCTATCATTCTGGAACTCTCTTGTTTTCAATTGCTTTCATAACATTTGATCTTAAATGAGTTCTCAACAGATCATTCACAGATCATTTTTTACCCCCGCGGATTTCAGCCTCCACCGCTTCGTAGGGTTTCTGCTTGGTCTGCAGTAGGCGTTGCTTCGTGGCGGCTGCACAGAGCTTCTCCACCAGGCAGCCTTTGCGAAACTTGGCGTCGGTGCCAAGGCCCCGGCCCATGCGACGGAGCTCGGCAACGGGTAAGGCACTCAACAGCAGTTTGCCGTAGTTGTCCTCACAAAAAACGCATGGAAAACGCATGGGAAATGCATAGGAAATGCGTGGAAATGGCATTTCATACTGAATCAGCTGAATATTGCTGGGTGCAAATGATGGAAACTGCTGGCAAATGGTGGCCGTTCTATGACATTTGAAATGGCTTGAAGATGTTTGAAAATGTTTGAATAGATTTTGCATAATTTTGCTCACAGGAAATTCCCATGTGTTTATATTAGGGTTTTGCATGTTTGATCTACAGTGCAGGATTCCCAACATCACCTGACGGCTGACCGGCTGAGTCAGACTGACCTCTTGGCAGTTGGGCTGCGACAGCGCTCGCTGCAACAGACTGGCAGCAGTTTCAGCGGCAGAGTCCAGTAGCCATGGCACTTGGTCACCAGGGACTGTTGGGCCTGTGGGGCCTGTGGGGCCTGTGGCGTCTGCAGCGGCCTTCAAGGTGTCTAACAAAGGTCCCCACTCTCCGTCCTTGGTTTCAAGACATGTCCAAGGAATTAGAGTTGCCAAGCTCTCCAGAAATCACACCCAAATCTTTAGACTCTATAGACACTTACATTGGCATGTGGCACAAATTCAAGCTCAATGGTTCCACCATTGTTCGCCCGGCTCAAATCCACCCAGACTCGCCCGATGCCGTTGTCTGCCCCAGCGTAGCACTTGCCAGTTCAGCCGCAGCTTCTTTGGCTGCAGCCTCACCCAGCTCTTTGTACCTGGCACAACTTCGGTTTGGGACGCGCTCCACAATGAAGTGATCCAAAACAACAACTGAAAGAAAACCAAAAACGGTTACTTATGTCCTTATACGTGTATATATGTTTACATATGTATATACACTGCGCGTGCATGTGTATGTATATGTATATTTTTTTTTCATTGCGTATATTGTGTTTACATTCCCAACAATGCCACAATTGCCATAGCTCTTCTTACCATTTCAGATGTGCCATGGCTGCCATGTTGTTCCCACACCCCACCTGGCACCAAGTCCTTGATAGGACACCCACTGCGGCCATTTCCGCGAGAGAAGCCGAGCGTAGAGCTGCTGTGCTGGCAGCGACAGGGCCCTTGGATGCCCCGCGTCGGAATCATAAGTGGTTTAGAACATTAAAACTTATAACCCCACTATGACTGGGGATACCCAGATATCCTACATATATATATATACATACATACATATATATATATATTATAATTATATATGTCATGTGTATATATATATAACTTGGTATAATTATCATAGTATGGTTGTTTGAAACACTTACTAAGTGGGATGCACCCCCAAGTAGATGTCTCACGCGTCCACCGATTGAAGGGAAAAAACAAAGAACGAGATAGTCATGGGAGAACCTAAAGAGAGCCAATCTATCATTTGTTTTGGAGACAATTCATTACATTGGATTGTTTTTCATTTTCATGGATGGTTTACAGTTGAACCCATCGTGTTTACCCCCAAGATCAGGGGCCCCTTAATGGGAAAGAGCTGTGACCAGTTTCCTCGAAGGCCCTCGAATTTCCACAGCTTTTTTGCGATGGGGCTCAGTAAATGTCAGTTGGGTTCAGACAGCCTCATGTGTATATATATATATAACATGGCCAAACCTCTGGAAACCTCCGGAAGAACTGCTCCTTGAAAGCCTGTCAGTATCCAATCATCACCTTTTCAGGGCGAAGAAGTCATATCAGAAGCTGTCATGATCCAAATTGTATCCTATCCTCATCAACTGCATATGGCATATTATGGGTCAAACCCCCCACAATCGGATACGGAATACCAACATGGGTTTGTCTGAAAATGGAATCCCCCCAATGGACCATCGGTTTCTCATTGAAATATCCATGTTGGTGATTTTGGGGATATAGATACCCGATTTTTGGACGAACCCGGCAAACAATGTTTGGCTACCATCATATCACAAGTTCATCCCACTCAATTCTATTATATTCTATTAAACATATTTATATCCCATTAAATCTCTACTAAGTGTTGCTTAAATCACATTAAAATCGCCGTTCCAACTCCGTTTTGGCCCAAGTTGCTCAAAGGCCCGCAACGCCTGCAGCTCCTCAAGGTGTAGCAGGTGCCCATAGCGTCGCAGCGAGGCAGTCACCACGCGGCGCCTTAGTGTATATAAGATTACAAATTTAATATATGCATATGCATATTACGTGTATATAAGAAGAATTGTGTGCATACATACATAATATAATAAATCTATATATATATAATTATACATATTTATAATATATATATATATATATTGTGCGTGCGTGGGTGGAGTAAATGGGCACACCATCAAGTTCAAGATATCAGCCTCCCAGCAGTCTCCTGCCGTGAGGGAACCTATCCCCGACCGCTGTCCAAAAGCCAAGCAACAGGTCCCGCCTCAGAGAACGGTCATGGGGAGTCATGGGGAACGGTTTGAACGGTGCTTAGTGCCCTGTTTCGCCTCCATTCATCAATACATTGCCACAATTCCATCTCGCAGCTGAAACAGGGAAAACGCACAGGTCATGCCCGAATCTTTCCAGTGGCAGATGGATAGAGGATTTCCAGCTTCGCAATGGCCAAGCCACAGGGTGTATCCCACGAATCTCTCGGTCGGCTCGGAGACGCCGGTCCCATCGCTCCTTTCGGCCGCAGGATCCGCAGGAGGCGGAGCCAGGGGCGGAGCCTCTGGAGCTTCTGGAGCCACTGGGGGCTCCGAAACCTCTGGGGTCAAACACCGCGACACCTTTGCGGCGAAGGCCAGCCTGAGATAAGTCCATAGTGGCGACAAGATGGTACAAGATCTTTCATAGCAGGTTCCAAAAATGATTCAAAGATCTGTGAAAATGCGAGTGAAGAAAACATCTGAGAGAAGTCATCGACCACAAGCTGTGTCCCCAGCAAAGTCTGTCGCCGCTTTGGAGGCCCCTGCCGTCACAGATTTCCAACACATCATTTTTGTTGCTGTACCCGTACCCTTCCTCAAGACAAATGTATACATCCGTGTGGTGGGGGAAACAAGAAAACACTCTCATCCCTCCAGAATCAGCCATCATCGTACATGAAAGAACCTAATGCTCCAGGCCTCTCCCTTCCTTGAGCTTTCCAAATTGACATCTTTGGCCTCAAGGAAGCGTTGGATTTCCACAATCTATGTTGAAGTGCAGTGCCTGAATCCCCTGCAAGAGTTGCAACTCAGCGCCTGAGTCTCATCACGGGGCCGCTTCTTGGGGGTGGGCTGGCCTGTCGATCGTCTAGCGCATGTCCCCACATGTTCATGTTCAGTGGAGAGAAGAGGAATTTCTGGGAACTCCATGGAACTGCTTGATCGAAAAATTGGGACACAAAATCTTGACCCCAAGTCCTCCTGCCTTCCTCATCGGAGTCAGCAACATACCCCAAGTGAAAGGCCATGCGCGGTCTCCAGTCTCCAAAGCCATGGGCTGTAGCGGCTAGCTGACAGGATCTGACGGGAAACCATGTCTTTTAGTGCCAGTAAAATCTTAAAGGGGGGCTCCTCCCTTCAACCAATCTGGGGCCTGTCCTGGTCAGCTTTGCATTGATAGGCTACATGATTTTTGAATAGCTCTAGGCCAACGGCCAACTCATGCCCGTGAAATTCAAGAAACAAAAGCGGAGTGCATGAACGATGTTCTCGATTGCTCTGTCAATTGAAAAAAGGGAAGATCAAAAATGCCTTCATAGCGATGCAGCCAAACAGAGAAGGCGGTGCGGCCAATACATGATTCCAACGAAGGATGTAGCCATCTAGCATGTCCACATGTTTATCATTTCAATTCAGCACTGAATGGATGCAAACATCTGTGTGCGTGTGCGCGCGTGGAACTACTTCTTCAAATGACTTCACATAATTTCAACAGACAGAGAACAAACCGCAACACCATGCGCGATCTTCCAATCTCTGCCCCTGGGTGTTGCGCCCATGAGGATTTGCAGGGCTTTTCAGGGTCGCAGAAGCGCGCCTGCGCAGCTCAAATGAGCTCTGCTGGGTTTGGCAAATGGACTTGGGGCAGCAGATCCTCTGCTGAAAGTCGGCCGCTATGAGCGGAAAAAATGTGGTAAATCATGGTAATTCCACCTAACCCCCAGAGGCACTTTATCAATATATTAGTATCAGCCCATGCTGGGTGAACACGCCCATCCCTGCCGGGCCATTTCTTGCCTGATACTGCTGAGCCAGCAGCTTGATCAAAGCTCGTTCCCCATGTTCAAAGTAGAAGGAAGTCCAGCCTCCGATGGGGAAATGATAAACATGTATGGGATTTCTGTGCTTTTGTTCTCTTTCACTCCATTCGTATTCAAACTCAAATGGCATCATGGAAAAGTGACTGAAGATCCTTCTGTGAGCTTGGATTGGATCCAAGGTGGGATCCAAGGTTGGATAGTCTAGTACATTCGAGACCATTCGAGATCATTCTACCCATCTACAGCATCGGCCGAATTGTCTTTGCCAAAAAATGGACCAATCGGCCGCCACCGAGGCCGATGGTAACCCCACTGGTGACCCGCTGGGCTTCGCGCCCACCGCTGCACTCACTGCTTCGTGCCCAAAGCCTGACAGGCGAGATCAAGAATTCCTGCTGTGATGTGAAACGGGAATACTTGGGGGGGTTCTATCATGAACATTTCCCATTCCTCGGCTTCTGTGTGGTATGGAGTAACTACATGCTCGCGCATAATAAGCTTGATCACATTCAGGGAACAACACAACTTAGGCCCTACGATCCTTGTCCAGATCATGCGGTCACCTCAAAAATTGACAAAGAGAATAATTAAGAAATATAAGCAGAAGAACTAAGAAATATCATAAATTCAGCATGAAGAGAATATGAACCAAAATACAGCTGTCGTAGCGCCACCACCTTTGAAATGGATCGTCACAGCCGAAGTGGTCATGTCGCCTCACAAAGCTTCCAATCGAAAGGTCTGGTTGTGGCTTAGGTCATGCATCATGGCCCTACTTGAAACAAACGTAGCTCAGTGAAACATGACACATTGCATTGACCCTTGATTTATGCTGTTTTTTCCCGTTCAAACTGATGGAAAACATATGAAAATGGCAGAAAATCGTAGGAATTCACACATATTTCCACCCCCAATGGCCCCAATCCCAGTGAGATATTTCAAAGGAGACGCTGACGACTTTGGAGCCTTGGAAGCAGAATCCACCGCAGCCACGCCTCAGTTGTTTAAACTAAGATAGTACCATAGTGAAATCCATGGGGGATTTTCCATATCGATATTTGTTTACTAGACATGTTCAATGCTGACATTGCTGACAACAAAGAAACATAAAGAAACCATTAGATCATCAGATCTTGGAAAGTGTTTGCAAGAAACAACTCGGGGCACACACCGCCCCAAATACAGGCCGGTTGCTGTTCCATAGCATCCATCGGGGAACCAATCAGGGAACCTCTGGCCAAGGTACAAAGTGTGGCACCTGGCCATTGCTTCTTGGACCGTCATCGTCTCCACCTGAAGTCAGGGGATGTTTGTAAAAGGGATCAACAGTAGGAGTGCCCATAGGTGCCGGCCTATGTGCAGGAATCCCCCCATACCCATACCCGCATCAGTTTATAGGGAATGCTTGACTCCCCCCAAAAAAAGATGGCTAGAACAACGTGTTTCCCCCAATAAATTCCAGGCGTCCAACTTTTCCACTCCTTGGACCTTGGACATCCACTGAGACTAGCACCAGAAGGTCCTCTGAAGCACCAGAGCCCTAGGATGGCTGTGGGTGAAACTAGGCTACCCCCAAAAAACGGTCAAATGATGATGATAATTCCATGGTTTCCTACCATGTCTATGGGTAATGAGGGATTTTATGGTTGTTGCAACATGCTGCATTTACATGCGGAGACTGAGCTTGGCGCAGGCATTTGTAGCCGACCTTCACGTTGCTCAAAGCCTTGCAACACAGAAGATGAAAACAGGATTGGCCAACACACCTCCCACCAAAGGAAGCAGCATAAGCGGCTGGAGTCTGAGCAAAATACATCCTTTCAGGAAAACAATATCCTCAGAAGCAACGTCGGTGACCAAGTGAATCCGGCACTGTAACACGCTCAAACCAACAAAACCATACAAAACCACAGGTGCGAACAGTTGGTCCATGTCCATTTCTTGTCGCTGAGCATTCCAACACGTTTGAGCTCGTTCTTTTCGTACTGCAGCAGCATGCGCCTGAAAGCAATTCCCTCTGCTAAGAAGTGGGCAAGTTATCGTATTGCATTGACCGTTTTCTCATATATTCGCCACTTCTCCATTATAAAGTATCAATTTTGGGGTGCACCCATTTTAGGAAACCCCGATATCTTCTCCACACAGCATCCACTGCAGCAACAGGACATTCCAAGGAGCCAACGTTCTCATGGTGGAGTCAGCATCCAGCACGTGGAGATCAGCATCATCGCCTATCCCATGCAACAGGTGCAAAAAATGATGCAAAATTGAAAAGAATCCAGAGAATAGCTGAGAATAACAGTGGAACGCCCATGGCTTTCCATTGCTTTCCCTCAAGCTGTGGACCAACCACGACCCAGCAACATCCCGAGGCCGTGCCTAGATTCCAGCCAGGTGGTCGGGGAGCCGACTCCAAGGACCTCTTTTAGCTGGGTCGGATCTTCATGGATGATCTGTCTACTCGTCTACGGGGGGTCACGAAAAGTATGATTCATTACGTCGCGACGGTCATTTTTGGGGAGGTAATTTTCACAAAACTAGGGATTTAAGATTGGATCTTGAATCTTGGCCATCCCGTGCCAAGAGTGGTGAAATTCGTGTCTTGATGGTGATAGGTACCCCCTAGTACTCAAGAGCCTTGCCATAGAAATGCCGAAAGTGTCTAAAGTTGCGCAGTTTCTGCATCCAGTTTCCAAGGCCCAACTTGAACCATAATGATCCATAAGTTCATCCGGCCATGGCATTTGTTTCCATCTGAGGTCCCTGCGCCAAGGCGTTGGTCAAGGGCTGCGAGAGAGTTTCATCTCTGAAGTCCTCGAGCCCGGGCCGAAACGCCTCGCCGTCCTCGGCAAAGAGCCGCCGCAAGACCTGCCAGCAGTCGCGAGGGTCGCCAGGGTCGCGACGGTCGCGGGCCGACTGGATGAAAGGTACACATCTGGGCGAGCTAGTGGGCTCACATATGTTCACATCTTTTCCCCACCTCCAGCTTGATGAATCGCGTTCTTCGCATGAGACCGTAAAATCCGCCGGTGCTTCCTCATTTTGGGCAAGGCTAACTTGAATGCATTGCCAGCTTGTGTGGCACAAAAGCCAGTTTGACAATTTGGTCAGGGTCCCATGTTCGGGGAAAAATGAAGTCATAGATGGTTTTGTATAAGTTATTAGGTTATAAGTTGTAACCATCCCACTGGTTGGTTATGCTCCTCTGCAAACATTTTCCTTGAAAGACTGACATCATCCATGCTACTTGCAAGCACAAGCTTGGTGAACTGAGACCACTTTTGGGTCCCAACCATCTGGGCGGCCCAAATCTGTCCTTAGAGACAAGCCAGTGGCAGATCCATTTGGACATGTGACATCATATTCCATGCATGTATCTATTTTGGACCTTGGATGGCATCGTTCAAATCGCGTGCCATGCAGGAGATGGAAGTCGCAATGGAAAAAAGGAACCCACATCGGCAAGAGGATATTGTCAGAATGACAAGCCTAAAGGAGCGCCCTTGCAGTTTATAAATGTCATTAAATTAAATGTCTGAAATATGACTCTCCACATGAAGAAATAGAGCGCGCAACAACGGAAACAGCTCACAATAGTATGATAAGAATAATGGTGCCTAAGAACTATGCTGATACAATAGCAAAGAAAACTACCGGAACGACAAAAATCGACCGAGAATCTATATACCCATGTTCTGTGCATGTCCAACTCCTTTCCCAGAAACTGAGGTGGGGACAGGGCATATTGCACCTGCACTTCATGCCAAGGCCTTAGAGCACTGGACATCAGCTGGGGGTTTGGGGCCCATTATTTCTCAAACCTCGAGAACCCAACCGTACAATAGAGATTGCAAGAGATTCTGCACAAAAGCTGCAGCTGCAAAGGGCCAGTGCCTCCCGGACCCCGCTGTGCTCCCCCGCTTTGCCTTGACTTCAACCTTGATAACAAGACCGCAGCTGCCGCAGGGGCTGCTGCAGCAGCTGTGGTAATGCGGCAAGCTGAGGTTGGAACGCCCTCCTCCCCATCATTTGTAGGGATGATGAACTTCGGCCTCAAGTGCTCCCACAACACACGCGCTGCGTCGGCCAGTCAGAAGTACAAAATGATTGATTTGCGGAACTGGATGGTTTTTTAACCCCCCGACATATATTGCTCATCTATAGTTCATCGTGTATCATCAAATCAATAAGGGGGAAAATAAACATATTTGCAGCCAGCAACTGGAGAAGTATCGATCACTGGGTTCGCGCACGGCTGGTTCACAGTATCACCATGAAGTTGAGCCTGTCATGCTACAAACCCTTGCAGGAAGTCAGGAAGATTAGATAAAGTAGCAGAAATGCCATGCGTTTTGCCAGCATTCTACACCATCACCAAAGAAAAGCCCGTCTCGTCCCAACATTTACCGCCTCAAGCAAACTCCGCACATGCTGGGCAGCACTGGTCCCAGAGCGCTGAGTATCATCATTGTTGACCTGCAGGGTCCGTCTGAAAATGACCCGCACGCCGTGAAGGGGAGGATACTTCCAAGCCCATCTCCCCTTCCGACCTGTGATACTAAGATCGGACCCTGCACCAAAATCTGGACCTCAAACATGGCCAAAGCTCATCAAATGTTGGTGGCAAAAGCCCTACGGCAATTCGGAGCTTACTGTTGTGATAGCATCTTCCCCCACACCTGTTTCCCTTTGGTGCAGTCGTTTGGGGCCCTGAATCTTTTGAACACACTTGCAAGATGTAGATTGATCTATATAGAAGTTTTTTCCATTGCACCTGCTGCCTGGTGCCTATTTGACACCCACCCTCGGGGGGAAAAAACAATAACCGCAGAATGAAATCCAGCAAACTGTCCTTACATCTGACAAAATCTGCAAATGGATCGTCCTGAAACACCTGAAAATCTCCAGGGATTGGGTGTTCTGATTTGCCATTCTCTCAGCCGTTGTCCACTAGGCATTGATTCGTCCACTTTGAAGGGCGCCCGGCTTTGCCAGGAGAAAGCGTGAAGCGATGCCATCTCCATCCTGCTAGGTACGCCCCGTCAAATTCTATGCCTCACAGCCATCCAGCTGCAGTTTTTTCAAAAGCTGTGCCTAACGCTGCATTGAAGCGCATACGATGGCAGTCTGGCGGGACCTGTCCCAAGGATCTGCGCAGATCAGTGGCAGTGAAGTCCCTCGACACCGCTGTTTCAGGCCTTTGGCTCTATTCTGACCACTGGTGGCGTCCTGGGATCATGAACCTCGGAATGGCACCATGTTGCAGGATTCTCAGAGTTCTTCCACGGTATCACCTCAACATGTTTTTGGTGTAGCTCAGTTTTTGAATGCTGTGAGAGGCGAAACGCACTTCTGGGCCAGCCGACCAGCACGCGAGAAGTGATGATTGAGGAAGGTCGATCCTGAGGATGCGGAGCATGTGAAAATAAAAAGAGCGTCATTTCTGCACCGACATACAGCTGGGGTCGCTGCACCAGCACTGTCTTCCCAGCACAATTCGGTAAGGAGATTCTTGAACAAAGCACCTTGGCAATTTTGGCATGTGGCATCTGTCTAGAATCAGGGCCTTCCTGTTGAGCATCGAAAAGCTGAGATGCCCAACGCACCAACGGATGCACCTTTGGCTTTTTCCGGCCTGCTGCCATCTAGTAAGAAACCATTCGAAAGCAAAAGCAACAAGAAATCTTGGTGACAGGTCAGTGACAGCTTGACATTTACCTTTCGGAGCATTTTGCTGAGCTGAAGTTCATGCTCCAGTTTCAACTTGCTCCGTACCTCCAATTCCCACAGCATCGTCTCTAGAGACTTGGTGAAAACGAAACAACCTGCGGGGCCGTGCTGGATGGGCAAAAACCTGGCACCTGGTGAACCCCAAAATAGTGGTTTTTGATGTTGGGTAAATGGTAGGTTTTCGTGGGAAATATATCATCTATCCCCGGTAAAATCTGGTAAATGGATGTTCATCCCACGAAAAATGATAGGTTTTCACAGTCTTCACCCCATATGAGTGTCGTGGTGTTGGTCAAGTTGCGCCCCCAGTGGATTGCTGCACCTCACAGCACGCTGGAAACGAGAGGCTTTGCGAGTTCCCGCCTAGGCCGTGGGCCCCTTTTTATTGGGCATGGGGTGGGCCTGCGATTTAAAGGGAAAATCATGGTTCATAGTTCATGGTTCATAATGGTTAATAATGGTTAATCAGTTAATTGGAATCATCGATAATCATGGATACTTAATGGGATATTATATAAATGGGATTTTACCCTCTGGTCATCAAACATGGCAATGCAAAATTCCCCAGAAATGGCGGTTTTAGTGGGAAAGATCATCTATAAATCATTGTCCCTTGCCACGTATTTGAGTCCCAGAGGCTAAACCCACTTTTTTGGGGATTGGCTAAGCGGCTTAGTTGCCCTGGGGATAAATGGGGTGCAAATATGATTGGGTTTACCGCATCCATTGGAATATCTCGGAGTCATATCAAACCATTCCAGGAAGTGCTCAACGAACTGCCTGGCATTGGGCTCCGCTCCAAAGATTTCCAAAGGACAGATTCAGCCATACCTTGTCTCTGCCATCCACCAAATGCCACATTGCCTTTTTTCCCCGGAAAGGTGCTGCTGCCAACATGTTACCAGACTCTTTCTGAGTCTCTTGGCCTGTTTCAAACACCACGTGGCATCAGGTCCTGGTGCATGTGCAGAATCCTACCATGTTCCATTGTCATACTGGAACCCACGGATGCTTTGCTTAACATCATGTCAAGTGGTGGTACCCTATCTTGAAAGTCATACTGAGCATCAGATTGTGCAATCCATCCGTGGCGTCAAGGTGATTTAGCTACAACTGCTTGTGCAAGGTGGAGGTCCACACCAACATCTTTGCTTGAAAAACAGTTTCTCAGGGTTCCTCGATCATGGTGAATATTTCCGATAAAAATTTTCCCATTGGATCAATCATGGTGCTTGGGACGGTCTCATCAAATTTCCTACAAATTGCAGCGTCGATCGCGTTCGTCCACATTTCAAATTGCGGTGTCGGTTGGCTTTGCCAGTAGTTCACTATCTGCATGGCAATTGATGCATGGACTCATCGGCGTGCCCTCGGCTACGCGAAGCTTCGAAGCAAGCAGTCTTTGGTTTTGAGGATTTCTGGAAGAACATCAGAATGAGCTAACCATTCAATATTCCTTCTTGAAAAGCAATGTGTTTGTCCAATTTGCCTCACCAAGTCTCATCCGTGGGGTTGCTTACCGCGGGCTTTCATATTCACAACCGCCACACCAGAATCAAGGTGTGATTCTATGATCTGCTTTGTCCGAGCGAAGCTACTTCAATTACAGCACTTATTTAGTTTCATTGAACTCTCAGCCATTTCTGGTGAACTAAGGGATTGTGTATTTTGGGGTTTAACAGTTTAATATGTTGCGCGGCTTCTTGGCGGTGAGGGTTTTGATCCCAACGAGGGGTGCCACCTATTGAAACCCAGCAAGCCAAGTTGCTCTCCAAGTGAGATTCCCCCAAAGGAGACCTACACCTGCGGCACGTTTGGGTCATCCCATTCCAGTCCACACAAAAGTAGAATACAGCGGATTCAAGGCGCTTCTGCAATTTCAATAAACCTCTGGAATCAGGACCGTCTGCAGACCATCACATGCTTGAAGTGGCATTGAAAATCATGGCAAATGATGGTGATTGATGGTGCATTATAGGTGCATTTCCAAGCCTTGGCCATGGCCGTGTCCTACAAAGACGCCTCTTGGGAGACGAGCTGCGAGATCTGGATCCACACCTGCAGCTAGGGATGGTACCAGTCTCCTTTCTTCAGCGGACATGTGGAAAATGGCCATAGAAATAGTGGATTTTCCCATTAAAAATTGTGATTTTCCCATTAAAAATGGTGATTTTCCCATTAAAAATGGTGATTTTCCATAGCTATGTTAGTTTACCAGAGGCTACATCCCAAAATCCAGTGTGCCAAAAAGCGCCCCCGGGCTGAATCTGAATGCGACAGATGATAACGGTCCCAGAAATGTGTCTGCTCTTGCGCGACTGGAAGCAGAAAATTTCTGATGCCCCCGTCCTCCACCAACATCAACCAGCTCATGTTTTCCCTATCCCACCCATCTATACCCATCTCACATCCTGATGGGATTACTCTGCCGAGACGCCTCCCGCACGGAGTCCGTCCGGGGGTTTCTGGGTCGAAGATCTGGGTCAGAAGCTCCTCAAATTCCAGGCTTCCAAGACTCAAAGGGTTGGTGTCGGGGGGGATCTAATCTTCGGAAGGGATTAATGAACGTCCCAAAGATTCCCAAAGATCCCGATACGTGCATTGTAATCCCCACTCGCCACCACATTCTGAATTCTACATGTCCCATCGCTACGGGAGACTGACGAGGTCCTGAGAGATTGGATCTTGATCCTGAACTTCTTGGCCCATGTCATCCTCACATTGCTCTGCACCTTTTGGACAAAGCTCCTGCCAAGTGGGCTTGGACGAGGTCTGTCTTAGCAGATCGAAAAAATTGGAAGTTGAACAGCTTCAAAAATCCTGCTGGATTTGGTGCTGGATCTAAAAGATTCAAACCATTTCAAACCTCACCCAGGTTTCATGTCAGCCCACGCCTGCGGCAACGCGAACTCATGGGAGCGAAAATCGGGGCAATCTGCCACATCGTGACACTTCTGGTACACCACCCAGCGTTTCGGGTTGATGACCAAATAGACACCATTGGACTTGTGAGATGCCTGTGTGACATCGGCAAATGCTGGAGAATCCAACCACCTAATGATTCGCTCACTGGCTATATAATGTATACATACATACATACATACATACATTACATTACATTACATTACTTAAATTACATACATACATTACTTAAATTACATACATACATTACATTACATACATACATACATTACATACATACATACATTACATACATACATACATACATACATACATTACATACATCCATACATACATCCATACATACATCCATGCATACATACATACATACATACATACATACATACATACATACATACATACATACATATATATATATATTACATATATATATATATAGCACATGTGTGTCAGAGTGCGTGTGCAGCATACGTACGTATATATTGTATAAGGATGTATATAAATAGGATACGATGGGATGCGATAGGATAGGATAGGATAGAATTGGATAGGTCGGATAGGTAGATAGATAGTTAGTAAGATAAGACAAGACAAGACAAGACAAGACAGGGTAGGGTAGAGTAGGATAGGATGGATAGATAGATAGATAGTTCCTAGAATTGTGGTTTAGCAATTTTTAATATAGATTTACCCCTAGCGTTGCCACCATCCGCTACAAATGCCAAAAACATCCTGCAACCTTCAACTTGGTTTGCCCAAGCATGAGTCACGATTACCACAAATCCACTGGTTCATGGTGGTCTATCATCACGTTCCCTGTGAAACTACTCTTTGGTGTCTTTTGCATTTTGATCATTTTCTTACATCTTTTCAATCCAGCCCACCGCGAATCTGAACCAAGCTGCCCCCTTCTTGAAGCAAAAGCGATTGTTGGTCAACGCCACCACCATGAAGTCGCCCATCAGCAGACTCCGCTGCACGCGTGTTGCAGCTGTCCAGGAGCCGGCGGAGCCGGGCTCGTTCTTCTGGCGAATATCATCCCAAAGCTCAATGAGATGCCTGCGACGTAGAGCCACTAGGTGTAGATATGTACCTAGTTATTTATGAAAGTTGTGTCATGCAAATGTTAAGTATAAAGTATAATAAGATATAATAAGTATTATATGGGTCCCAGTTTCTCTCTCTCTCTCTCTCTCTGATTTTCTTCATTTTAGGTTTAGTCATTCGATGTCCGTGGCGCATGGTTGTGATCTGCGCCTGAAGAGAGCGGCATTTTCCGAGACTGGGAGCTCGACAACCTCGGATTTTTGCCAGGGATGTCCAACAGAACTGTGCTTTCAGATGACTCAGAATGGCTGCCAACTGGGATAGGTATATGACAATCACATACTCCTACAATTGAAGACCCCCCCTGCAATTTCCTCCCAAATAAATCGATCAACTACTAAACCAGGAGTTCGTCGTGGGGCAGTCGGTATTTGATACTAGGACAGGTTTATGTCTGTCTGCCTGCCTGCCTGCCTGCCTGCCTGGCTGGCTGGCTGGCTGTCTGGCTGGGCTGGCTGTCTGTCTGTCTGTCTGTATCTGTATGAGTAGGTGTAGGTGGTAGGTGTACGTGTACGTGTACGTGTATGTGTATGTGTGTGTGTGCATTATATATGTGCACAGTATAACTAGTATATAGTATAGCTGAAGTTGAATCTTGGCACGAAACCCACTTCCTACCCATCTACGGATCTCTCTGCTTATCTCGGAATGGTTGCACCCGAGCCACTGCCTGAATTTCAGGCAGCGGCCCCTAGTCATGAACCGAGCTGTATAGAAAACGATGCAAATTCTCACTCTTTTGGTGGGACTCCCCAAATTAATCAACCGGGGTTTATTAATCCGGGGCTGACAGTATGTCTCTTTACCTTCCGCAAAAACGGACAATCATGACAATCATAACAATCATGGCAATCATGACAATCATGACAATCAAGTCTATTTTGGTGCATCCTCCAACATGCTGAAGCACATGACTTTCCAGGATCGAAGAAAGGGAATCTCTCAATTTCGCTTTGGATATGTGTGGATTCCTCCAATGGTTTCCATGATTCTGACTGCTGAGTCAAAGCAACGTCTGGTTTCGAAGGTTGAGCCTTGAGATTTGCCACGTGTTCGGGTGATTTGTTGGCTCGCATATGCTGATGGTGCCACGTGGCCGGTATTAACACATGCCTGGCAACTCAGCGGTTTGCAGGGCAGTTCCATAGATATAAGATGTTATAAGTGAAGATATTTCACCGCAGTTATAGGGGTTCTATCATGTTATATCCCAACTTATTGGGGTTTGAATCCCATAGTTCTACCCATGAAACAAACACCCGTCCTGCACTAAGTCATGGCATATCCCCGCCTGAAGAAGCTCGTGCCTTCCGGAACGAATGAGGCCAGGCTGTCAAGAAGCTGAAGTGCGGGTTGACCACTCCAAGTGGGCAAAAGGGGTCTCTTCTTTCCAAACCTGGGTGATGTTCAAGTCAAGGTCGAAAAATGATGGAAATATATGTTAGAAAAAAGTTGATCTGATTTGATCAGGCTTCCTGGCAGTAGTTTTAGGGCACAAAATCCGTTGCTACATTGCTACCACAGAATCTTTGTACTGAAGAGCACTCTGAAGCAGCGATTTCGAGTGTACCTAGGCCGGTACTGTCACATTCCACTCTCAGCTTTTGGGAATTACATAGCTCTCCAAACCGCAAGATAGCCTACCCATGCCTACCCGCAAAGCATCGGGTTCGAATGGAATTTCCTTTGGGATCCTTTGGGTCTATACTGCTTACAGCTAGTCTGATCAGTCTGCCAAGTGCAAATCCGTCTCCTGGCGGTGTGAAAATCATCGAGGCAGGCAGGATGAGTATGTCTTGAAAAGGACAGATGGAACAGCGCACTTTGCTGCTGAATCGAACCATACACGCAATTTTTGCAGAGGCACACGGACTCGTCCACTACGGAAACAGAATCTCTTTCTCTTGTCCTCAGTTCCAAGCCAGGAGAGCTTGGATCAGTGGTCATCCCCCCTAACCTCTTCAGTTGTGCAATGAGAGATCTTGGACCACCTCATTGACCCTACCTTCGCCAAGAAGAAGAGAAAGTCAAGATGGATCATGCATGATCATGCTATAAATATTATATATATATATATACATGCGCGCGCGTGTATGAGGTTATATAACCAAGATCGCGTCAAGCAATCTTCTAAGATCTTCCAAGCATTGCTAGCAGCTCCCAGTGCAGCTGGATGATATTACTGCTCAGCTCCAAGTTGCTGTTCCTTTCCCTTCGGCTTTGCAGCAAACAGCAGCGGCGCTGAAGAGTTGCCGGCCTGGGAAATTTGGGTTGCAGAAACGAACGACCCAATACAAGAACAATCATGGATGCAGTAATGGCCTTAGGTCATAAGTATTAATTGAAACTTCTTTGTAGGGTGTTCGGGCTAATCCATACTTTCCGCATGGCCTCGCGCCTCGCGCTGCTGTCTCACCCAGTCCATGAAGAGCTTCACGAAGTAACCAGCTTGTGCGTTGTTGGGAAATGCAAGGGTGTTGCAGGCTGAGCCGTAGGATTGCAGCCTCTTGATGATGATGTGCTTGGAAAACTTCTCCGTATTGGTCGAATCGAGGTCGTAAAACGTGGCTGGATCAATTGCATGCCCGAATTTAATGTCGCAGAACTGATTCAGTAGTTCCAAAAAAGCTGACGCAACTGCTTGGGGGTCAAGGTCTGGATTTTCCACACGGGAGAATTCCAGGTCAAAGTAAAGCCAGCAAGGCTTATTCTCCAGCAAGACTTCATACAAATGACGAGGTCCCAGAGATGCTCTTGATTGCCAGGATCTTTGAGGTGATGCTGTCACTGCGAAGCCAGCGTGGGTGTCAACGAAAAAACTTCTGCAACCAGTGGTGGTAAATTCCCTGGAAAAAAGGCCCAACTGCTGGGACTTGTAGCGGCCACTGGATACCAAAGCTTCTAGGCAGCAAATTGCCTCTGCCTGTCGGTTAAAGATCCTGGGTGCTGGTGGATGAAGGTTCTGCTTGGCCTTCAAACCCACCCGGTGCCTCAAGCAGGTCTCAATGGCTTGGATTGGCGCTTGTGGCCCAGGCACTTCCTCAAACCCTTCACTTGCAGTTGTATCCACATCTTCATCCGTGGAGCACACGTCAATGTTGTCGATGTCTGGAAGTTTCAAGGGACTACCTGGATCTGAGTCCACCTGTGTGCTGTCGCACTGCGTGGTGGCGTAGCCCAGGTCACCTAGGTCGGTATCGCTTTGGGAGTCCAGCAAGGCTGTAAGGATCTGGCTCATGTCATGCTCACCGCAGCTGCAGGAATTCTGCTGGCTGCGGTTCTACTTTAGCCCTGTGAGCCGAATTCCAGGAAAATGTATCAACTGCATTCAATTGCAAGCGGGCGGCAAAAACACGTAGCTTTAGATTTGCTCATGGGTTGTTCTGATTTGTATCTTACTGATGCTTTCCCAGATTTCCTCTATCTATCCCTTCTCACATTCAAGCCGAAGGCACAATCCAACAGACCAAAGAAAGGCAGCACATGCATGTCAGCTCATGCCGCCGAACTATCACTCCCGATTCCATCCTTTTCTTTAATGGTAGGGCTGGTAGGGGGACAGGCCTCAACCCAGCGGATTCTGGGCCCATCACGATCTCAATATCTGCTTTGTCCCACTCGGCACGCCAAGCCTTGCATCTGGGCAGATCATGCAGATCCATCATCTCTCATTGAGACATGCACTCAAGAAAGAAATGGAGGTGTCCTAAAATGGGACCCTGAAATATCCTGAAATCATCCATTTGAATCCAATTTTCCATTATAAACCATCCATATTGGGGTACCTCCATTTATGGAAACCCCAAATGAACATGTCTGAATCCACCGGAGAGGACATGATGGACATGCCAAAATTTATCATATTTTCTTCCCTCTGGGGTACGAGCTGAGCAATGCTCCTCCTCAATCTCCGGGAAAGTTAAAGGCTCATCTTCACCATCTGCGGTGGCGCGACGGATTTCCACGTGTGAGTTACCAAGTGCCTCCTCCTGTTGAAGCTCCCTTGATTGCATGCATCCAGGTTATCATATTTACTCAAAGGCCAAAATTGGCCAAAGCGAACAGCGCAGGCGCAAAAGAGCCTTTCTTGGGGGTACCAGTATTACCCGGGCCAGTCTTCGACTCATCGAGATCAGCAGCAATGCTTCTGGAACCTCCTTCCGTCTCATTCGTGGAATCGCTTCTGGAAAGGAACTTCTGGAAGCGGTTCGTCTGAGTATGACAGCCGTTGTGCTGCTGGCTTGATCCCAGAAGTCAATCTAGTTTGATGGACATTGAGTAGGCAAGATCCGAATATCCATGAATGTCCTGGATACAAGGGGCTACATACATCAATTTGCCCAGTTTCTTAACCCTCACGAAACTTCAGCGATCATTGCTTTGTGGTCCACTATTCTTCATCTCGGGCCCGTGCTGGGACTGAGACACCCAAGGACATTTTTAACCTTAGCAAGCACACTCCACGTTTGAGGCAAGCACACCAACGGGCATGCTGACTGGATCCTGGCATTAGGTAGACCATTCTCTGCCCCATCTTTTTTCACACAAATGACACAAAATGACCCTGGCAAAGTTCTGCTGGATTACCCCACTTGGGGTATGGTGTCCCCCTATTTCTCGTAGAATTGGGCATCACACCGTCCACTGTTGGCGATCACGGACACCACCTAAAGGCCACTTTGGCGCTACGGGTCAAGACATGCCGATGAGCTTCACAATGAAGCCATCCAACTCTAAGGGAACATGACCATCAGTCTTCACTCAAACATGCGCGTATGCAATTTGATACATATACACATACAGATATACATGATTCCAACTATGCTGAGTAAGAATGGACCAACAAAACTGTTCATTGTCACTGTGGAAAACGCCAAGCTTAAACCATCTTTCTGACGTTGAGCCTTCTCTACAGTGTAGCGGGTTCCCCTCCGGGGATTGTAGAAGATGATGTCCACCTGGGGGACTGGGCTACTCGGGTTTCATCAGGATCGTGAGGATTCGTGAGGTATACAAAAATAAAGAGCAGGCATATGTTTTGTTTATTTGCAATCATGTACATATATATATATATATACATTATTCATATCAGGTGATCATGTGCATGACATACACCATACATACACATGATATTGTCCGTAAATGCGCTTATTTATATGTATGTTTTGAGTGGAACATCTACAGCTACACCCATCTGGCCGTATGTTTCTCAAGGCTCAAGAACCGCAAAAAAGCGCGTACCTCCGCGGCATTCTCGCGGGGCCGGCCCCAGTAGTGAGTGGCCTGGGACCACATATTCCTGATGGATGTCAACCCATCCCAAAAAAAAATATTCGTCAATTAGAGAATCAACATCCCAATAGGACTGTAGTCTCTGAAGAAAAATATTTGAGAAATTGAGACCCAGCAGAATCCCTTCTAAACTGATTCTAAACACTTCAGAGAAAGAAAGCCTTTTGGCCTCTTTGGGCACACACGACACCGATGTAAATGCAGCGTGCATCGCTAGGGCATTTGAGATGCAGACTTTTTGGGCAGATGAAGCACCTCGGAGAATTATATACATGCAAATCTGTTGTGGAGGGGAAAGGTGTTCAGTTTTTATTCGGATCCATCAATGACCAAAATGAGGTAATTTTTCCATCCAAAACCAACGAGGTGTCCTGGGTGTCCTGCTTGGGTTCCCCACTGTTTGTGTCTCCAACATTGCAGCTGAGTTCAACATCCCCTCTACCATCATCTTTACAAAGGCGATGCCATGCACGGACCAACAGAATCTGGCCATTCTCATCCTGATACGCTGCCTGTAACATAGCAGTTCCTTTGGAGATGTCTACAGTTGGCTTCCCATAAAACTTGAAGCCTGCCGGTAGGTTCTCACAAAGCAGACTTGATCGGATGCAAATGTCCGGCCAGTTCTGATGGCTGCATGACACCAGCGTCACAGACATTTCTGTGGCCGCAATCCCCTCGCGGCAGAGGCTGCAAAGACGATTGCCTCACGGCCAGCAAAAAAATGATACATGTCAACATCACATATAGGGTGCCAACACTAGGCAAATTGAATTTGACCATCCTAGGCAGAAATGACAATACACCAACTGGAAGTGCTCTGAAACTGCTCACATCTTTTGCATGAAGAAATTGTGCGGCAAATCCTTGACTTTCCACCCCTACCATTGAGCTGCTATATCAACCCCATCGTATCCTCATAAAAAACCCCATCGTATCCTCATAAAATACCCCCATGCTTGTTGCTGGTTAATCCCTTTCTTACGGGGTAAATCCCCATGTTTGATACTTAACATTCCCATGTTTGATAATCAAAATCCCCATGTTTGATGGTGCAATCCGCAATGTTCACAAGTTAAATCCTGCTTTCTACATCTTTGCTGACTTAAAATGACTTAAATCCCATCCATTTTTGCGCAGTCCAGGTGCTGCTGACACGCACCGCCAGGCCATTCACATCTTGCGCTTCAATCAAGTGGTGCACCTTCGCAAGGCCAACATCCAACGAGTGGCAGTAGATCGCCACCTGTGACGGAACAGCCATTGATTCGTTGGTCAAAACGTTGGTCAAAACATGTCAAAACATGTCAATCATCGTTGGTCACTGAAACCGAAAATGATGTACATGTAATGAAACTTGAGATGGACATGGTTTTGGAAATCTCGAATGTTTGGAAATGATGGGAAGTATGCGCTATACTTTGCAGTTCGGAGCTTGCATAATTATCAGAGTCGGTGTATATATATATACATACATACACACATACATACATATAAAAGCGCTGATCCGCTTGCCATCCAGCCGAATACTCCCACATCGGGGCCATTCCCAAAACTTTAAAAAAAAATCTGGTCCACTTGGAGCAACCTGTGCTTATGATTGCTTATGAATGTTCATAAAGTTTCCATTTCACCTTAAATGAAGTGAAACGAGATATACGAAATTGACAATCCCAAACACTGTCTTTTTTTGTGTGTGTGTATGTGTTCTTCTTTGAATCAGCCAGCCAAGTAGTAGAAGGTCATCCATATTTCCAGCCTCTGGCAGCGACACGAGCTCTTTCAAACTTCTCCCTCTAGAACGGAAACGGGGCTCCAATGGGGTCCAGTCTGGACACGCACAAAGTTCGTCTCCCAACTGTGCCATGCAGGGATACTCCTGCGCAAAGGGAGGAACTAGACAGCAGGGCCTTGATTCTGGACCCCGACGTAGGTCACAGCACGATTTGAAGAAACTTCTATGTCATATGTTAGGCTTTTCTCAAGATTGGCTGCTCTCCAATTTCGTTCTTAATCATTGTGAATCATCATTTTACCATGCTCTGCCTATTAAGCCAGCTTTGCAACCGAAGAACAGCTTCGACGTTCAATTGTTCCGGCGTTCTGATTCCGTTGCAGCTTTTTTGGGGCTTGGCAAGCAAAGGACGCACCACTCCCAAACGATCAGATTTTAAAGCCGTAAATTTGCAATTTAACATGGAGTAACATAGCTATGGGAAGTTGCCAATTTACAAATAATATAATATATATAATTACTGATATGATATTTATGATATACCCCTATTAATAATGATAATAATGCGGATGGTCCATAGCAAACTGTAAAAAATTACCGGTATGCCCCATGTTCGGCCATGTGTAGATCGGTGCCTGTCCTCGTTCTCTTTCCAAGGTTCCCATTTAGATGCAGGAGACCAGGGTGGATGCCCAAGGGCCTGCAGAGTTCCGCTGGCCACGCTGGTTATGGTCGCTCTCTCCTGAGGTCGGTTTAGAGTGTCCTGCAAACCTGTTCCATCCGTGTCCATTTAAGTGACATAGTGATACATGACGTGCACATGTAATCTTGGGATATCTTGAAGTGGGAAAGTCCAACTGGAGCTGAAGATCCCATTCATTGATTCGGAACTTGTCCTATCTGCACAGTTTCCCCTCATGTTCCCACCAAACTCATTTACAATGACAAAATCGTTAAAAATGACAAAGGTTGTCCTATGTTATCCTCAATTTAACATCATGATTTGGTCCAACCCATTGACCAAAAAAACCATTTGCTCCGCCAAGTCGCATAGGCGGAAGGACCGTCACTCGGCAAGCCTTTCATGTGCTGCAGCTCCCCGACAGCTGGCGCCAGCCACCTGAAAAAATCAGCTCACTGCTGAGCGGGCCCCGTGAGTTCCAACATGTTCCAACTGCCCCTAAGAAATACCATTCATTTGGGGACGTGTATCAACAAAAAATTGAGCCTCCGGCAATTTAACATATATATAGCTGACATGGCTATGGAAAAATGTGGGGATGTCCTCCCAAATGAGATGGACAATAAAAAAACTGAAACCACCAGGTTCGCTTTTTTTGAGTTGGAGATTGTAGTTGCCTGCTTCCACGAAGACAGAAAGAAACCCACCAACAGAACTGGGGTAAAGCATGGAGTTGGAAACTTGGATTACCCAAGCGATCGAAGATCTTGCTTTTCCCTTCAAGTCCCGTAATCAAATCCGAGCCAAAGCTCTGGATTTTCGGGTGCCCTATTTTTGAGTGATTCCTACTAGAAACGGTTGCAAAATACCAAGCTGTGGCGAATGACATGCAACAGCACCACAGCTTCTGCGTATAGACTTCGTGGAGCCAAGCGAGCTGACGGGGCGTCGGGCTTTGTGACAGCGCGACGTCAGCTCCCGGCAGATGCACCACCTGACTTTGGCCATTCTGGGCTACTGGGGAATGCCTTCATCTCCATTCCATTCTTTTGATTTCTTTTGGTCATTGGATTGCTTTATATACGTAGATTACATAGATGTTTATGGGAAAATCTGCTGGAAACCCTTGTTTTACCCCCAACCTCCTCTTCTCGGCGCCAGACTTTGTCGTGGCACGGTGCAAGCACGAGACCGGCATCCACAGCACCAAAAGCCTGGCACAAATTGGCAACTTTTGATCCTCAAGAAAATTGATGGCAAAGCCAAATCATATCACAGTGTTGCGTATATGAACCAATTCTTCATTTCTATCCCTGTTATGGATGGGCTTCTGTTTTATGCATCAATTCTAGGTAAATTGTAGTACTTCACTGACCTCAATTAAGGCATTTTTGGAAGAGTTACTCCTACTGACCATCGTTCCAGTGACCTTTCCCACGAATGGCTCAAAATTGGGCGGCTTTGGGTACCATGATCTAATGGTTTGGCTTAGGGTCAGGCGTGGGCGTTTAAAAATCATCAATGACACTGTACTCATCGAAATCCTTTAAACCCTCCCAGATTCCAGCGCCCCTGCTCTCACAATTGAACCATCCCCCATGGCCTTTGCACCCGCATCGGTGCAGGCAAAGCAAACAGCTTGCGAAGCAGGCAACCCCTCATCGGCAAAGAAACGCTCCAGCGGGCTGATGCCTCTCCCCTCCTCTCCAGTAATGGATAAGACCTTGTCAAAGACAGCGTCATACCACTCCCGGTTCAGAGAGGTTGGGCGATAGGCCCGGGGCCGTGAGTTCCGTCGGAAGGGACTAGAATCTCGCGCATCCTCCCTTTCTCTGGGTGGCTCAGTCCTCTCCTCCAAATCCTGCAGAAAAAGGTAGAACAAGAATGCTAACAGAACACATGCAACATGAGTATTGCTTAAGCATGGGGCACTCATGTAAGTATCAAATCCAATCCAAACCATCCTGTAACCATCCAGCTTCGGGACGAAAAAATTGACCAAGGTCCAAACCGCAGAAATGAAACTGCGTATCCTCCAAGTCTTCTACTTGGGCCAAAATGAGTTTGCAGCCCTGTTCGCGCAATGAGTGCAGCAAGCCTGGGGAAGGGCCACCAAGGGAATCTGCAGCCTCCAGTACTGCACAGTGGAAGGGCAAACTTGGTGGTGGCCCCTCAGATGGCGAGGGTGGGTTGTTCCGATATGCAGGTGGCTCATAGCTATGGATTGCACTCGGCTCCAGCATGAAAGCCACACCATGCGATGACCGCCGGCGCAACTACATTATGTCTGGCCGAAACCAAAAACAGGAATTGTGCAGACAGTTTCTTAGAAGAGAACTCCGCATCTTTGAAAGTCTTGTGGGCTAAAGAGAACACAACTTGGTCTGGTCACTTGTATGAACCTTTTGTGCGGGACCGGTATTAAAAGTTTACAGACTCGAAAGGTTGCGGTCAGTCTGGCTGTTTGGCCACCCCTTTGCCAGCACCTGAGCAAAACCTGCGGATGGCCAGACTCAACTGTCATTCATGAGAACCAGTGTGCCAACCGACCTCAAAGCAAGCAAAGTAACATGCTGCGTGGCAGACGTTGGATCAATACCGCTTTGAAACATGATGAATTAAAACTGGATCGAAAATGCTTGGAAATAAAAAACACCAATTTCGAGCCACAACTGCCACAGCTGAAGTGCCTGCTTGACACCTTTTCTTTCCCTCGGTCCCTGCGTAAAGTTAGTTTTTGCACTTCCCACCCCTCTGCCTAAACTTCGCTGGCCCCCATCTGCTCATTTTGCGACATGGACACAAGATCCGCAGCAGCCACGGCCCCACCATGGCCTTCTGCATGATGAGTCTGCAGAAAGTCAGTCTGCAGCGCACGGCTGTAGCTGCATCTGCTTCGGCGGTGGTGGCATTTGTTGCTGTTGCACTTCTCCGACTGATTGTAGCGGTCGCCCATATGTCTGAACGTGGTTCTGTTGAAATTGGTTCGGTTGAAGCTGGTGCTGATTGATATGTGGCTGGAAATGCTGAGGCTGGTTGTTCCGCCAAAGCTGCTGCTGACAAATCGGCTGCTGCTGCTGTTGCTGCTGCTGTTGCTGCTGCTGCTGCTGGTGCAAAAATTGTTGCTGACACAGCTGTTGCTGCATCATGTCCAGCTGCTGCCGCGTTCGTTGCCCCTGCTCCGTGTTAGGAAGTTGCACGAGAAGTACTCGCGAAAAGGGGGAACACTGCAGCACCGCCCGCTGGAACCTGAACGGCCAGGATTCACTGGAAAAACGGACAGGAGCATCTCGAAGATATTCTTGTAGAAATGGGGCCCAAAAATAGAGACCCCAAAATTCGCATGAAACAAATGATACTGGCAAATATATGGGAAATTGATGGAACTTTGGATTTAAAGAGGATTTTAATCCCATCCATATTTATCATATTTCTGGCAAACGGCACCGAGGCCCACCCTGGCCTGCCCCCTTTGGCATTCGCGTCTGCCAGAAGAGCCTCCGGGCATCACCAGGATCCAATACCCAATAACCAGCGAATACCTCGGTATGATCACCTCAATTTAGATTGAAACTAGTAGCCGGATGACCGTTTATATATATATAATTACCCTGATTCGCACTTGCCAAATTTCAGTTCTCAGTAGCCTGGATCGCAGAGCAAGTTGAACTGTGGAGTTCTGACCGGCTAAAAAAAATTGGTCATGCCTGCGCATAGCCCTCATAATTCCTCTGGTGTGGCGGAAAAAAGCGCACCTTAGAGCAAGGCGGAACAAGGCCGCTATGCTGATTGCATGACACCCCGAAGCTCATTTCTTTGCAAAATGCCTTTCTGAGCAAGCTTGCCGTGCCATGTTCACAGTGGGAACTGATGAAATTTAGCACCACTGAGTGCCGGGCACATTCATTGCATGGAACCACAAGGGATGGCACTCCACTTGAAGACGCCTATAGTCTCAAATAAAACGTTGTAGTGCTTTAGATTGACGCAGTCATCCATGACCCTCTCAGCTTGGGGCATACTGAAGACAGGGTGTTGTGGCTTCATCGCCATACAACGACACCAGAGCACTGGCGTTATCAACAAGCGCTTGGTGCTCTGCCTCGCCCAGGAGTGGCTCTCTTTCAGACATTTTTTCAGACAAAGGAAATTGAAGGCAGAGTTTGTCTACAAGTTCCAGAACAAACTACTCGCCTGTTGCGTTTGACCCGCGGGTGCTCTTATATATTCATGTCTCCTTCTTGCCTAGTCCTACTGATTCATCTCAGATCGCTTGCAAAGTAGGGTGGTGTCCAAAAGTACCGTGTCCAAATTCAATTGTTTACCATTTCGTTCCAAAAAATTGCCATAAATGGGACATACCCCCTTTCCGGACAAAGCCATTTCCATTATTCATCAGTTGAATTCCCATTTTTGACCTTGAAAACCCCAATTTCGCACCAACCTCGTGGTTGCCTCCAAGTTACTACGAAATTCTCATCAAAGGGTGCAGCAATGGCTTCAAAACGGGCACCATCTGGGAAGCCTTTCGCCTGACATGGTGGAGTCATAGTGATTCCTGGCACTGGGATATCCTTTGGGAAGTAGATCTGCCGCTGTGCCCGGCTGTGCCCGGCTGTGCGCCAGTTCTTGGAGGAAATTGTAATATCGCACAACGATCACAATGCAACTATCTGGGCAAATTATAGTAATTCACTAATCTGAATTAAGGCCCATTTGGGGATGATTTCCCTTATAAACCATGATTCCAGTGAGGTCGTAGTGAGGTCGTTATAATTTACCCAGAACTATAAAGTAGCAACCCCCAAGATGTTCTCGAACAGAATCCAATGCCTCCATCTCAAGCTCAGCGTGGCGATTCTGCTTGCCACTTCGGCGCCAGAAGGTGTCGACGACGGTGACGGGAACACCTGGTGTGAAAAAACCACTGGGTGCAGTTCTTATGGAACTTTACATACATATACATATACATATACATATACATATACATATGCATATGCATATGCATATACATATACATATACATATAGGGACTATAACCCCTAGTTTTTTTGACTGCGCCCTCCACACAGCCTAGTTGGGATTTATTGGCATATAACTTGATACAACCACACGCCTCACCTCGCGACAAGAGAGCGGCCGCCAGGAAGCCAGGCTCCCCGCCGATGTCCAAAACCTTGCCATGTCTAAGGCCACAAAAGAGTGGCTGGTCATTTCTTAAAATGCGTATAAATATATATAATGTATATATATAATGTATATATATAATGTATATATATAATGTATATATATAATGTATATATATAATGTATATATATAATGTATATAGAGAGAGAAGGGTTAGAGAGAGAGAAGGGAGAGATAGAGGTAGCAGAGAAGGGAGAGAGGAGAAGAGATGAGAGAAGGGGAGTCGAGAAGGAGAGAAGAGGGGGAGAGATGAGAGAAGGGGAGAGAGAAGGGAAAAGGAGAGAGAAGGCGGTAGAGAGAAAGGGAGAGATAGAAGGGAGAGAGAGAGAAGGGAGAGAGTAGATATAATGTAAGATTATATAATGTATATATATAAGGAGAGAGAGAGAAGGGATAGACTATATATAATGTATATATATATAATGTATATATATATATAATGTATATATATAATGTATATATATAATGTATATATAATGTATATATATATGTAATGTATATATAATGTATATATATATAATGTATATATATATAATGTATATATATAATGTATATATATATATACATTCTATTATCAAAGGAAGTTTAGGGGGAGAAACTTCCGTGTTACGGACTTTTAGAATGTCAGGGAAAGAGTTAGTCAAAGAAAGAGTTAGTGAGGGAAAGAGTTAGTCAAACAAAGAGGTAGTCAAAGAAACAGTTAGTCAGGGAAAGAGTTAGTCAAAGAAAGAGTTAGTGAGGGAAAGAGTTAGCAAAGGAACAGTTAGTCAAAGAAACAGTTAGTCAGGGAAAGAGTTAGTTAAAGAAAGAGTTAGTCAAAGAAAGAATTAGTCAAAGAAACAGTTAGTCAGGGAAAGAGTTAGTCAAAGAAAGAGTTAGTGAGGGAAAGAGTTAGCCAAAGAAAGAGTTAGTCAAACAAAGAGTTAGTCAAAGAAACAGTTAGTCAGGGAAAGAGTTAGTCAAAGAAAGAGTTAGTGAGGGAAAGAGTTAGCAAAGAAACAGTTAGTCAAAGAAAGAGTTATCAAAGAAACAGTTAGTCAGGGAAAGAGTTAGTCAAAGAAAGAGTTAGTCAAAGAAAGAGTTAGTCAAAGAAAGAGTTAGTCAAACAAAGAGTTAGTCAAAGAAAGAGTTAGTCAAACAAAGAGTTAGTCAAAGAAACAGTTAGTCAGGGAAAGAGTTAGTCAAAGAAAGAGTTAGTGAGGGAAAGAGTTAGTCAAAGAAAGAGTTAGTCAAACAAAGAGTTAGTCAAAGAAACAGATAGTCAGGGAAAGAGTTAGTCAAAGAAAGAGTTAGTGAGGGAAAGAGTTAGCAAAGAAACAGTTAGTCAGGGAAAGAGTTAGTCAAAGAAACAGTTAGTCAGGGAAAGAGTTAGTCAAAGAAAGAGTTAAAACTCTAGGATCGTTCCCTCACTGTAAATGGCATTGCAAGTGGTACTGGTGGAGGAGTTGCCGATGGAGTTTTGGAGGAAGTCTCGCACGAAATGCGTTTTTGAGAGATAGCAGATGCACGAAACCCTATGTTTTTCCATACAAAGTACGTCCCCGAACCTCGATGATCTACCTCTGCGGTGCGACGGTTGCGAGACGGTCTCGTGTGTGGTCGGATCATGGTCGGATATGCTCGGATCATTCTCGGATCGGTTCCGCATTGTAAATGGGGTGTCACCTGTGTTTCGTGCATTTGTTGTCGACAGAATTCCATTGTGATTTGCAACTGTAGGATCGTTCCCGCATTGTAAATGGGGTTGCAAGTGGTGCTGGTGGATGAGTTGCCGATGGAATTCCATTGTGATTTGCAACTCTAGGACCGTTCCCTCACTGTAAATGGGATTGCAAGTGGTGCTGGTGGAGGACTTGCCGATGGAGTTTTGAAGGAAGTCTCGCACGAAATGCGTTTTTGAGAGATAGCAGATGCACGAAAGCCTATGTTTTTCCATACAAAGTGCGTCCCCGAACGTCGATGATCTACCTCTGCGGTGCGACGGTTGCGAGACGGTCTCGTGTGTGGTCGGATCATGCTCGGATCATGCTCGGATCATGCTCGGATCGGTTCCGCATTGCAAATGGGTTTCAACTGTTTTTCGTGCATGTGCGGTCGACAGAATTCCATTGTGATTTGCAACCTGTAGGATCGTTCCCGCATTGTAAATGGGGTTGCAAGTGGTGCTGGTGGATGAGTTGCCGATGGAATTCCATTGTGATTTGCAACTCTAGGATCGTTCCCTCACTGCAAATGGGATTGCAAGTGGTGCTGGTGGAGGAGTTGCCGATGGAGTTTTGGAGGAAGTCTCGCACGAAATGCGTTTTTGAGAGATAGCAGATGCACGAAACCCTATGTTTTCCCATACAAAGTCCGTCCCCGAACCTCGATGATCTACCTCTGCGGTGCGACGGTTGCGAGACGGTCTCGTGTGTGGTCGGATCATCCTCGGATTGGTCTCGGATCGGTTCCGCATTGTAAATGGGGTTTCAACTGTTTTTCGTGCATGTGTGGTCGACAGAATTCCATTGTGATTTGCAACTGTAGGATCGTTCCCGCATTGTAAATGGGATTGCAAGTGGTGCTGGTGGATGAGTTGCCGATGGAATTCCATTGTGATTTGCAACTCTAGGATCGTTCCCGCAATGTAAATGGGATTGCAAGGGGTGCTGGTGGATGAGTTGCCGATGGAATTCCATTGTGCTTTGCAACTGTAGGATCGTTCCCGCAGTGTAAATGGTTGCGTCAAGGTTGCTTCCTGCTTTGGCTGCATACGTAATACTATTGTCTTTTGCAGCTGGACTTCGTAAATCGTATTGGAGTGGCTGCATGAAGGCTGCGACAGTGATTTGTCAGCAGATTTTCTTCATTTTGGCGCTAGTGATTTTCCTTCTAAAAATCATTTTAAAAAGTGCTTCAAAATCGTCTTTTTTTCGCTCTGGCGTCGAGATCCATCCGGTTTTGGAGCTGCAATTTCCGACGCCGTTGCGCGTAGTTCTATTGTGCTTTGCAACTCAGTCTCTGCAGATCGCATTGTAATGGCTGCGTCAAGGTTGCTTCTTGCCACGGCTGCATGCGTAATACTATTGTCTTTTGCAACTGGACTTCGTAAATCGTATTGGAGTGGCTGCATGAAGGCTGCGACAGTGATTTGTCAGCAGATTTTCTCCATTTTGGGGCTAGTGATTTTCCTTCTAAAAATCCTTTTAAAAAGTGCTTCAAAATCGTCTTGTTTTCGCTCTGGCGTCGAGATCCGGTTTTGGAGCTACAATTTCTGACGCCGTTGCGCGTAGTTCTATTGTGCTTTGCAACTCAGTCTCTGCAGATCGCATTGTAATGGCTGCGTCAAGGTTGCTTCGTGCTGTGGCTGCATTGGTAATACTATTGTCTTTTGCAGCTCGACTTCGTAAATCGTATTGGAGTGGCTGCATGAAGGCTGCCACAGTGATTTGTTAGCAGATTTTCTCCATTTTGGCGCTAGTGATTTTCCTTCTAAAAATCCTTTTAAAAAGTGCTTCAAAATCGTCTTTTTTCGCTCTGGCGTCGAGATCCGGTTTTGGAGCTACAATTTCCGACGCCGTTGCGCGTAGTTCTATTGTGTTTCGCAACTCAGTCTCTGCAGATCGCATTGTAATGGCTGCGTCAAGGTTGCTTCGTGCTGTGGCTGCATTTGTCATACTATTGTCTTTTGCAGCTCGATCTCGTAAATCGTATTGGAGTGGCTGCATGAAGGCTGTGACATGGATTTGTTAGCAGATTTTCTCCATTTTGGCGCTAGTGTTTTTTTGTTGCACGTAGGTTTAGAGCAGTGTGAAGTGTGGGGCGTGAAGAGTGCAGTGTGAAGTGTGCAGTGTGAAGGAAGCAGTGGGAAGTGAGAAGTGTGAAGTGTGGAGTGTGAAGTTTAAGGTTGGAGTGCGAAGAGCGCAGTGTGAAGTGTGAAGTGTGAAGTGTGAGGTTTGGAGTGTGAAGGAAGCAGTGAGAAGTGTGAAGTGTGGACTGTGAAGTGTGAAGTGTGAGTGAAGTGTGGAGCGTGAAGTGCGAAGTGAGAAGTATGAAGTGTGAAGTTTGGAGTGTGAAGTTTGGAGTGGGAAGGAAGCAGTGAGAAGTGAGAAGTGTGAAGTATGGATTGTGAAGTGTGGAGTGTGAAGTGCGAAGTGAGAAATGAGAAGTTTGGAGTGTGAAGGAAGCAGTGAGAAGTGAGAAGTGTGAAGTGAGAAGTGTGAAGTGTGGATTGTGAAGTGTGGAGTGCGAAGAGCGCAGCGTGAAGTGTGAAGTGTGAAGTGTGAGGTTTGGAGTGTGAAGGAAGCAGTGAGAAGTGTAAAGTGTGGATTGTGAAGTGTGAAGTGTGAGTGAAGTGTGAAATGTGAAGTGCGAAGTGAGAAGTGTGAAGTGTGAAATTTGGAGTGTGAAGTTTGGAGTGGGAAGGAAGCAATGAGAAGTGAGAAGTGTGAAGTGTGGATTGTGAAGTGTGGAGTGTGAAGTGCGAAGTGAGAAGTGTGAAGTTTGGAGTGTGAAGGAAGCAGTGAGAAGTGAGAAGTGTGAAGTGAGAAGTGTGAAGTGTGGACTGGGAAGTGTGGAGTGCGAAGCGCGCAGCGTGAAGTGTGAAGTGTGAAGTGTGAGGTTTGGAGTGTGAAGGAAGCAGTGAGAAGTGTGAAGTGTGGACTGTGAAGTGTGAAGTGTGAGTGAAGTGTGGAGTGCGAAGTGCGAAGTGAGAAGTGTGAAGTGTGAGTTTTGGAGTGTGAAGTTTGGAGTGGAAAGGAAGCAGTGAGAAGTGAGAAGTGTGAAGTGTGGAGTGTGAAGGGTGGAGTGTGAAGTGCGAAGTGAGAAGTGTGAAGTTAGGAGTGTGAAGGAAGCAGTGAGAAGTGAGAAGTGTGGAGTGTGAAGTGCGAAGTGAGAAGTGTGAAGTGTGAAGTGTGGAGTGTGAAGGAAGCAGTGAGAAGTGAGAAGTGTGAAATGTGGAGTGTGAAGTGTGAAATGCGAAGTGAGAAGTGAGAAGTGTGAAATGTGGAGTGTGAAGTGTGAAGTGTGAAGTGCGAAGTGAGAAGTGTGGACTGTGAAGTGTGAAGTGTGAAGTGTGGACTGTGAAGTGTGTGGAGTGTGAAGTGTGGACTGTGAAGTGTGAAGTGTGCAGTGTGAAGTGTGAAGTGTGAGGTTTGGAGTGTGAAGGAAGCAGTGAGAAGTGAGAAGTGTGGAGTGTGAAGTGTGGAGTGTGAAGTTTGAAGTTTGGAGTGCGAAGAGTGCAGTGTGCAGTGTGAGGTGTGGAGTGTCGAGGGAAGGACACGGTCGGGACAGGTTGTCTTTGAACTATAGGTCATTTATGTTTGGGAATCTTCCGCCGCCGGCTTGCCCGGGTCTATGTTAATTTATATATATACCAGTATATACCTGTTTAAGCTGTTTAGTATTACAATACCCATTTGGAGTGGGTGATAGTGGGTGCTAATTTTGACGGATTTATCTTGCGAATGTACAACTGGCAGTCAAAATCCCATAAATTGATCCATGAGCAAATGCATAAGGTGCAATGTGGGCAAGGCATCATGTACACAAACCCCAGGTTTGCAATAGAAATATCTGCACATGCGGACGGGCTTGCAGTCCATCTGAGCATGCCAACAAACGATATGTGGGTACACTTGCGTATCGAGGTCCAATGTTTGCACAAGCTCATGCCACTAAACTAAACTTTTGCTTCTGATGTACCAACCAGGTTGGAGACATTTGCAGAATCTTGCAGGATATCTAGAACCATGACCTGACAAACAAACTTGGCAAGGTCACTCAACCGAAAACACAATAGAGCTGCATTCAGTGTCACACCCCACTTTTTTTTCTTCCGAAAAAAAATCGTCAAATCGTCTTTTGCATACCGACAAGTTCTGCGCTGCGCTTCCACAATGCTTCCCAAGCTTTTGGATCGTAAGATGTGGACCTGACGCCGCGGTGAGCATATCTTTCGGACAGGTTGATGTACTGATGCAAATGGGTAGCGAGAGTCCTGTCATTCGCCATACATGAAGAATACACATGACAAATGCCTATCCATATATATATATATCCATCCATTAATAACGACCGTGCAATTGTTCATTGATCATTTTCCCAAATGTGCCATCATGCAGTCATACCAATGTTCCGACAAAGTTCTTCCCTTAAGCCTACGCCTAAACCGAAAGGAAAACGGCTTGGGGCCAGCTGGCTGGCTGCAAGCTGAGTGGCCCTTCCACAGCCAACTCCTTGTTGAAGGGCAGAGGCGATGCACCACGGCCCAGACTCTCAGCTTTCCTTCGCTTTGACTGTGCGAGGTTTGGCAAAATCGCACTTTGGTCAACTTTTTGACCCGACCCTCCATGCCACAATACCTTCCTCACAGCATCTCTTTGCAGTGGTTCAATCCCACAACCCCCCCCATTCCCCCTTTGGCCCTTCATCCAAGTGACTTGCCATCCACCCAGTAGCCACCATTGCTGTCGTCCCCAAGGGCCAGTTGCACCGAGGTCTCTGCTCCTTGTCTGGGAGACTTGGCAAACTTCATCACCGCAGCCGGCGCCTGAGGTATGTTTCTGCTTATGCAATGCATATGCTTCTGATCTTACTAAACATTTATATACGTTGTTTATCTAAGATCAGTTTTGTGCAGTTACAAATCATGTATCTGTTTAATTCTGTTTACATGTTCACTTCTCACATCTCTGCATTTTGTTGGGGGCTCCATTTGGGGGTTCAACCAGGACCCATGTGCACCCCCGTCCCCACCGGTGTTGGAAGATATCGCTGCAACTCGGTATCCACCACCCCAGGGTCCAGCACATTGGCTACCACTGGCAGCTTGGACGAAGACAAACGACGCGCCAACTCGTAGGTGAACATCACCTGGTTCTATGACCAAAGGATGCACTGAATTTAACCGTAGATTACTACAATAACCGGGTGTATAAATCATGATAAATCACGAAATATCGAAGAACTGGTGATATAAATTACCTATTTTTTGGCCGCTGGTTTTATATATATATATACATATATATATATATATATATATTTATATCTATTATTATTCCTATTATTATTACTAGTACTAGTACTAGTACTAGTAGTAGTAGTAGTAGCAGTAGTAGCAGTAGAAGTAGTAGTAGTAGTAGTATTCCTATTATTATTATTATATTTATAATTTATATGTTTATATATCATATATATATATATATATATCTATCTATCTATCTATCTATCTCTCTCTCTCTCTCTCTCTGGAACCAAAAGATCTGAATCTGAGGCATACGATCCCGACGGGTTTTTGGAATCCCCCAGATGGGACAAACGAAGTCAGTCATGGGCATTGGCTACTTCGGCTGCTGCGGGACTGTTGCGTCTAGAAACACTTTGGTCTTTTGGCAGCACTTGGAAGATCCAAGGGTTGTCACCAAAGATCCGACCCCAAAGCAAATTTAAGATCATTTAAGCTCCCAAACTGGTACCTTTCAAAGCAGCAGTCATACTGAAGACTTATTTTTTTATACAATGCCTTGGCATGTTCCCAGCGATCCCCTCAAGGCCTGTGCCAGCTTGGATTGTCCATATGCTGTCCAGGGGTAGTAGGCATACTTCCCCTCATCAGCTTCCAAATTGAGACCACTGGTGTCGCCAAAGGCCAGTGGACTGCGAACAAAGTGCGCAGACGAGGAGACATTGATGATCCTGGAGGGTCAGGAGAGGCATCATAAACCAACGTGATGGTGGATACCACGTGGCAAGTTTCTGGGGGTGGTTTAGCATGGTTTAGCATTGGGCTTTCCACATTGCACTGGGAGGAAGCCTGTTGAGACTCAACTTGGGATGCTTCATGATGCTTCCCCAGCAGATGTCCCCGTTGAAAAGCTTCGGTCCTCGCAGGGTCCTCCCTGGAGCCGGCAGCCGTCAGCTGTGGCAACAACAAGTTTACCAGCAGGAAGTGACTCAGATAGTTCACCTCAAACTGAAATTCATAGCCATCTTTGGTCACCTGCCTTTCAGGGAGGGCCATGACAGCCGCATTACAAATCAAGGTGTGCAAGGGTAAGTCCATGTCTTGAAATGATTTGGCAGCCTGCCGCACCGATTGTAATGAGGCTAGCTCAAGAGGCAAATACTCCAGTTTTGCTGGTCCACCTTTCAAGTCTTCCAGTGCTTTTCGTGTCTTTGCTTCATTGTGACCAGCGAGGAAGATGTATGCATACTGCCCTGATCGTGCCAGTTCCGCTGCAGTAGCCTTACCTATTCCCGTTGATGCTCCTGTGATTAAGGCGATCTTCCCGGTAGTCTTGGCAGTTGCCCTGCCAGCTTTCCCGCTGAAGGCCAGGGCCGAAAAAAGAACTGCGTGGCGCCGAAGAGTCTGAACAAAGCTTTGGTCCTCTTGTTGGCGGCACCCATCTGAAAAACGACGGGTGATCACTCAAACGGGAATATCACCCCAAATGATAGGGCTGAAAGTTGAAAAGTTATGGAAAAAATCAACATGTTTGAAACCAACGGGTCCTTCACTTCGGGCGCCGAGGTCTTCTGTGCCTTCCGCCAAAGCGATTGCCCTCGCACTGAACTTAAGTGGCTCAGCTGGGACAGGGAAGGAGTGGGTGAAGGTCCGACAAAAACCGACATGGCTACACGGCTGGATTCAAAGGAGCCACTCTTTGAGCCAGAAAAGCTTTCTTGGATCGATTTTTCACTGCACAGCCAGAGGTGTCGACTTTCCCTATCGCGATCCAAAACCATGGAAAACCGCCCCCAATGTAGATATGCACATATATACTCATAAGATAATGCACGCATAGATAGACAGAAATAAAGAAAGATAGATGGATAGATGAATAGATGGATGGATAGATAGATGGATAGATGGATGGATGGATAGACAGATAGACAGATGGACAAATGGACAAATAGACAAACAGACAAGTAGACAGATAGATGGATCGATAGATGGATAGATGGATAGACGGATAGATGGATGGATAGAAGGATAGATCGACTGATAGATGGATCGATAGATCCATAGATCAATAGATCAATGAATCAGTAGATCAATAGATCAATTAGATATGTATACTCAGATGGATAGATATGATATAAATATATAGACATAATTTTCCTCCAAGAAGTCGTGACTCTCCCGTGCCAGCCAGGATTCCCAGCCCAGCATGGGGTCAACTGAGGCAAGGGCTCCGGATCCTGCACGAAGTGCAGAGATGCCCCAGCTCTGCACCTCTGAAGCACTACCACTGGCTGATGTGGCTGTTCTGGACTATCTGGACGGGTCAAAACCGTTGATTTTGCACATGAATGATCATGAATGGGGCATGTGCCAGTTGAAGGTGTTCACCAGGGTACACCAGGTATATAATTCACTGCAGCCTCTTGGCATTTGAGAAGCTTGCTGTTCTTAGAGGGCCACTGAGCACTAGGCCATCCAGTCGGCAATGGTCTCAGCTTCGACGCGCTTCTTGCTGCACCTGGCCCATGGCTCTCCCTGTCCCCGTGACCGGTCCAGCAAACCTTCACATCAAGAACACTCAATATGAGCGTGACCATGAGGGGATGGGTCAAAACCCTATCCCCCTGTAGTTCACATCAAAATAGCTGGTAAATGGATGTTCATCCCCCTAAAAATGGTATGTATAGTTGATCCATAGCCATGACACAAAACAAACAACTTTGAGGCAAGCGCCATGTGTTTCCGCAGGGCGTCTGCACCCATTCAGCCCATTGGCTGCTGGTCCATCCATCGAATCGAGGTTCATCTTCCTTGAAGGATGGCCAGGGAGACCACTTTCCTGGCTGGGTTTCCCATGGCCAGTTGGGGCATATTGACCATGTGCGTAATGGAAGCTGGGGGAAAATCCAGAGAAACCCCTTGATACAGTGCTATTGACCATGGTTTTCTGTTGATTGTCCCTTTTTCATCCCTTTTCGATCAATCAACAGTTTTCATCCCTAAATCTGAGCTGTCGCTGTTTTTGGGCTATCCCTCTGAACTCATCCTCTCACAACAACGCCGTCCTTTTCCATGGCCCTTTCCACCACACTGTGGATGTGGGGCTTCTGGTGTTTGGTGCGAAGTGGGAGCCGCTGGGGCTACAACCGCTGCACCTGTAGGCAGAACTATAATATGAGGTTGTTAAAAAATGGTCACCAAAATTAGGGGAAATATCCAAAATAATTTTTGAAAACGGAAAAAAACTAGAACCAAACAAAAAAATGGAAAAAATGAAGATGAGAATGAGAAAAAGACAATATTCAATAAATGATTCCTTGATTTAAACTCAGTCTGTGGCTGCAAGATTCTCATAAAAATGGTGGGCCCCTCAAAAAATTCTAGTGGTTTTGGCATCATTTTCCCAATTCGATTGGAAAATTTGAGGTTTACCCCTTTTCTGGAAATGACCCCCAAACAAAAGCTATCACCATGGCATGAGACAATCACTGAAACACTGCCATGTGGCTTTGGATTTGTGGCTCAGGGCTGACAGCGGAAGCGGCTGGTGCAGTTCGTGTAGTTGGGGCATCCTCTGCTTCCTGTGACTTTGCCGCATCACACTTTGCGGCCTCGGTAAGAAACGCGTGCGGCTTCTTCGGCCAGAAATCTCAGAATTTGGTGAAGGTAAAATCTGCAAGGAAACCACAATAATTGATGGCAAAAACCCTGCCTTCAACCCATTGAAGAAATCATGATGAAAGTCTGCAGGATGTGCGGGCATCATATTTTCATGTGTTTCCTGTGTGACAGCGAGTGCACATCCATGTACGGTAAAGGTATGTAAATAGATAAATCAGAGATACCCTGTGGTAATTGAACAGGTTGCTTTGGAAAATCACTATTTTAATAACTAAATAATCATCTATTATTAAATGAGCGGTTTTTTCTTCCCATGTTTTTCCCATATTTTCCTCAGGTTTCCATAGCAACCTCTAAGTTCTTACCGGAGGGGAGACGCTCTCCATGCCTCTGCCAGCAACACCTGAAGGTTCACCAAGACTTCCGTGAGCGCCTGCGTGTGCTGCGCGATGAGCCTTAGTGCAGAATGACGATGCTAATTGACGAGAATATTCTGTTTTTTGCTTGTCATTTTTTTCAACCTCCCCAAGGAGTTTCTTTGCATTTGCTACAATCAAGCGTTTTGCCCAACAACGCGACGCTCGTATCGTTTTTATGAGAATTTTTGGCGTTTCCGTCAACCTAGCTGAAGATTGGAACAGGAAGAGACGAAACAACCAAAATTACGGGAAATTTGGATTTGCGGGCGGTTGCGGGTATTTGCTAGCGTGTGCGGGGTCTTTTTTCGGGTGTTTTTCGAGTAATTCTTGTCGAGCTAATATGTCAGCCCATAGAGATCAGAATTCCAAAACTGAGACAAAAACATCGACTTCCACGAACATGTGTCGTTCTTAGCGCGTTTACAGTTTTTGCAGGCGAAAGAGTGCAAACAACAAAACTATATACAAGAAAGTTATTGTCGCTGGAGGGTTCACGAGAATTTCTATCAGAATCATGATATCAGTTCCATATCTTGAATTATGATACAAATAGACCATGATGGTCTATTTGGATAGAAACAGCATTAGAAATGATGATGATTTTGACTTCTGAACCTGTGATATGCCGAGTCACAGTGCTGCGGCCCTGCACGATGCTGACAGCTCATGGCTGGCAGATGCCATGGCTGCCATTTCTACAAAATCTGGGGAAAGGACATGTAAGGACTGAAGACCGAGCTGCGTCACATGACTTACTCTTGAAATTTACTGTATCATACTGTATCCATGACATTTGAAATAAAGGAGCTGGCCATCCATGATTCGATTCTTACTGGGTGCTCCGGGCTCCTGTTTGAGGCAATTGCTGAAGAAAACGTCCGCAACTGAATCCGCTCCAGCCAAGCAATAGCAGCATGCCGCTTTCGTTCTCGTACTGATGAGTTGAAGCTATTTGGGGTAAAGCCAGCTTGTGATTCCGTATTTTTCAGCAGCACATGGCGGCAAGCGTTTCTCCACATTTCCCCGTTTCGTCATCACATTCCGCGTGGCTCAGCCTGAATTACCCTGCGAGCCAGCTTGGCTGGTCCCACGGGTTTTAGCCGTCAGCGTTCGTTTCCTTCATACTGACACACGGAAAACGCTCATGACACAGGTGCTAGTTTGATATGTGGTGCATGCGTGCATGTCTGCGTGTGTTTGCGTGCGTATACATACACATACACATACACATACACATACACATACACATACACATATACATGTACATATACATGTACATATACATATACATATACATATACAATAATAATAATGATAATAATAATGATAATAGTAATAATACTGATAATAATATAATAATTAATAATAATAATAACAATAATAATAAATAAATATATATACATATATATATATTACATATATATATACATATATATATATATACATATATATATACATATATATATATATATACATATATATATATACATATATATATACACATATCTATATACACATATATATATATATACATATCTCTGTGTGTGTACCATGTGTGTGTGTGCGTTGTTGTTTAAATATCTAGATATCCCTAGGTATCACAATATTCGTACACATAGCCTTGAAGATCCTCAGCTACAGATTCGGCGTTGGTACCGTCCGCCTTGCCGCCCACAAGTAGCCATCTGGAAGATGGCCTGAAACTTTCCATGGGAATCAACTGCGCGGTGTCTGGTACCACATCAGGGGTTGCAAATCGTTAACTGGGAGTAGAACCAAGAACCAGCAATCAACCAATAATCAACCAACAATCAACCAACATGAGTACCATGAGCAACTTAATTTGGCTTGTGATGTGGGGTTTGGTCTGTTGAGTCATTGGAGATCACCATCCCCGGACCTGGTTGAACATGTGTTTGTTCAACCACCAGTTTTACTGGGTATCCCCGTTTTTTGGTTGTTGAAACACTCATCATTTATTGGTGGTTAAACCATGCTAAATCATGTTAAATCACCTTAAACCATGTTAAATCATGTTAAACCAACACGGTTTAAGCACCACTCCCAGCTGCCGAGCTGCGCACATCGTAGCCTGTCGGGAGCTTCCTCATCCGCCGAAGCCGCCCGTCCCAACTCGGTACGAAAACTGAGGCGGCCCCCTCGGCAACAAATTTGCGCAAGAGAACCTGCAACGAATGGCTCCAGCTGTTTGCTGCGTGTTAATATTGGTGGTATCTCCCATCCCTATATGGTTGATCATAATATCACCAAGTATTCCCTCATTCATTAAATATAAACCGTTCATATCATCTCATCATCCATGAATTATGTGTCAAAAACCTTGAAAACCCTCCGACCTCAACGTTGCTCCTTGCCATCCAAAGACGTTCCGGAACGGTGTTGGGATAGAGCTCGTGCACGATGACATCGATCCTCACCGGCTCCTTCCGCTTGACCAAGGCTTCCCAGGTCTGCCTGGCCAAATCAGGAATTCAAAACCTGGAATGATCAATCAAAACATATCAAATCATATCAATATGTTGTGGGCATCCACATCTATATTCTGTACCAGTCCATGTGCACAATGTGTACTACATATCTATCCTTGTGCATGTATTATGTGTACACACATGTACATATACATGTACAAAAATATATATATATATGCAAAGAGAGAGACAGAGATAGAGAGATAGAGAGATAGAGAGATAGAGAGATAGAGAGATAGAGAGATAGAGAGATAGAGAGATAGAGAGATAGATAGATAGATAGATAGGTAGATAGGTAGATAGGTAGATAGGTAGATAGGTAGATAGGTAGATAGGTAGATAGGTAGATAGGTAGATAGGTAGATAGGTAGTTAGGTAGATAGGTAGATAGGTAGTTAGGTAGATAGGTAGATAAGATAAGATAAAATAAAATAAAATAAGATAAAATAAGATAAAATAAGATAAAATAAGATAAAATAAGATAAAATAAGATAAAATAAGATAAGATTAGATAGATAGATAGAGAGATAGATAGAGAGATAGATAGAGAGATAGATAGAGAGAAAGATAGAGAGAAAGATAGAGAGATAGATAGAGAGATAGATAGAGAGATAGATAGAGAGATAGATAGAGAGAAAGATAGAGAGAAAGATAGAGAGATAGATAGAGATAGATAGAGAGATAGATAGAGAGATAGATAGAGAGATAGATAGAGGGATAGATAGAGATAGATAGATAGATAGATAGAGATAGATAGATAGAGATAGATAGATAGAGATAGATAGATAGATAGATAGAGATAGAATATAGATAGATATATGATATAGATAGATATAGATAGATAGATAGATAGATAAATAGATAGATGGATAGACAGATAGATAGATATGCATGTGGATACGTCTGTCCAACAACAAGTGACAAGGGAAAACCCAACCTAGACCCAAAGTTGTGCCGACATGGTACTGTTCCCGCATCTGTCGGTGAGAAATATAACGCTGCAGGATGTCAACCCCATCTTCAATGAAATGCCCGTGCCCTGGAAAGAGACTTACTGGATGCATGTGAAGCATTTTTCGAAGAGAGTCCATGTAGTCCTTCATCTCCATAATAAAAGTGGTCCCCCATCCTAAGACATGATCGCCAGAAAATAGGGAATGTTCCTCCTCCAGCAAGAAGGTCATGTGGTCATCGGAATGCCCAGGCATGTGCATGGCCGTGAGTGTGGCTCCTTCTGTTGAAATGGTGTCTCCGGAATCCACAGCTGTCCAAGGATACTCGCAGTTGCGCAAGCGATCAATCAGGTCTTGATGGTGCCAGGTCATAAAAAAAATCCAGTGCAATTTCTCTTCAGTGTTTTTTCCATGAAAATGTTTCACCCGATCATGTGCCCATGAGATGTCCACGTCTTCTGGCAATTTGGGTGGTTTTCCATCCACCTTTGGATTGTAGAGTGGTTTGCCATCCAAAGTTAAAAAGTGCTGGATCTGGCCTCTCCTTCTCAGCTCGGATAACAGAGGGGAGGTCCGGTGGGACAGTTCCCGTGAATACACAGGAACGGGCCCGTATTTGTCTTGCAACCGGCCCACATTTCCATAATGGTCGTGGTGCATGTGCGTGATGACAATCCCATCCAAGCCTTCAACTCCAAGCTCTTCCATGCAACTGCTGAGGATATTCATGAAAGCATCTGCACCAAAGTGTTGCTCCCCTGTATCGATCAGCAAACGTTTCCGGCCAGTTCCAACGAGATAGCAGTTGGTCCCGTTGAGGGTAAATGAACCTGGATTTTGTGCCAATACACAAACCACCCTGTCCGTGAGCTGTTCCCAATCAGGTTGCGGTTGCAGGGTCCCTTCTGCAAAGCGTTGCAAGCCGACAGCAATGACATTACGTTGCCCTTTCGGAAGCGGGGGCGGTTGGATTTCCTTCTCGCCATCCTCCACCACTGGAGATGACGCACATGCTCCTGGGAACAATTTCCTAGGCTTTCGGGGCCTTGTATAGCCGGCTGAGATTGGCACATCCACGGGGTCAAAATCAAAAGGCACGCAACAAGGGCAATACCAACTCGACATTGCAGCATGCAAGGGCAAAATCAGAATTCTAACTGTGAAACCTGCAGATTGTGGACTAGGCTTTTGTGTGCCGGGCGCAGGGCGGGAATAGAGGTGGCGGAAAGTGTCCGAAGTATTGAGCGTATATGCGCGTGTGAGAGAGAGAGAGAGGAAAAAAAAAGTGAATGCTTGCAAATTCGATCTGCCCTAAGACATTTACTCTTTGGTGTCAAACAGCTGCAGCATAATAAAATATCATAGAATCATGCAATGCTGAACAATCCGAATCCAACAGTTGGTTTTCCACGCTACAATATTTTTGACGGTTTTTGCCGGACCACAAGACACAACAAGATGCAGGAGGCTCACTTGCGGGCGCCCTAAAACAAAGCAGCAAAAGTGCGCCTTCGAAGAAAAATTGACGGGAAATCCAAAACCGAGTGACCGAGCTGATCTGGACACTTTTGTTCCAAACGATTTGCTTGCCAACTACCGGACATGCGAGGGTCATCGGGACGTCATTTTTAGCTGCTAAATGCATTTGTTTAAATATTTAAATTTTTAACCCTAAAAAGTTCAACCACCAATCAGCGGTAAACTGGTAACTGTTGTGGTTGCGTCCGACGTTGGAGGTGTCAATTTGTTTGGTCTTAAATGGTCCTAATGCTGGCCCTGCTGGTCACATTGTTGAACATTATGGTCGGGTGGGCTTACATCTGGGCGTCGTCTTTTTGTTTGTGGGTGTGCCGATGGGCAGTCACATATCACACTGACAAGTTCGAACAATTTGATGAATTGGGTCGGGTACCTGCACGTTCTTGCATGTTGCAACAACCACGAAGATATACAGCGCGTTCAGGGTTCCAATCAGGTTTGATTTGTTCGCGTTTGACTGTTTTTGGCGAAACATGGCACGAAGTGCCGAAGTGAAGCAAAAAACAATTTTATAAACATAACCAAACTGCACATGAAGTTTTATTTTCTGATGGTAAGGATCATCAAAGATTTGGTTTTGTTTCATCATTCGCTCGTCCGAAACGGACGGAGTCAAAACCAGAATTTGATTGCCTGGGTGATTCAAAAGCACTTGAGAAGACTGGGGTGGACGAAAGGTAGATTTTGCTGCATCAGGGAGTTTGAAGTACAAGTTTTCAATTTTGGAAAAACAGGCACGCATTTTTCTACATAAATTATAGTAACACAAAAGAGGGAAGTCTCGGCAACGTATGCGATGGCTGGTCTTCTCCGAAGAGTGTTTGTTTTTTTGCGAAGAATGTTTAATTTTTTGGTCGGGGTTTGCTACACAACTTGAATCATCCAATGCTGCCTCACCTGCCTCCTTTTGGCAGATAATCAAAGAAAAATGACACAGATAACCAAAAATTCGACTTTTTTTTGCATCTTTTCAACGCATGGTTGCCCTCGTGTTTTTTTAGCAGGGGATGATCAGGATGATGACGGCGGTGATGATGATGGTGATGGTGAGGATATGCTGATGATGATGACGAAGATGAAAATGATGATGATGATGATGGTGATGATGATGATGATGGTGATGGTGGTGGTGGTGGTGGCGATGGTCATCATGATGATGGTGGTGGTGATGATGATGATGATGGTGACAACGATAACAATGACGATAACGAAAATGATGGTGATAATGATGATGATGATGATAATGATGATGATGATGATAATGGTGATGATGACGATGAAGATGGTGATGAAGATGGGGGTGACGATGATGATTATGATGGTGATGATGACGATGATGATGTTGATGTTGATGTTGATGCTGATGTTGCTGTGTCAAGATGATTATGATGATTTTGGCGGTGATAAACATGACGACAACGATGACGATGGTAACGATGACAATGACGATGACGATGAAAATGGTGATGAAAATTGTGATGGTGATGATCATGATGATGGTGATGCTGATGATGATGATGATTATGATGATGATGATGATGGTGGTGACGATGACGATGACGATGACGATGACGATGACGATGACGATGACGATGACGATGATGATGATGATGATGACGATGACGATGATGATGATGATGACGACGACGATGATGATGATGACGATGATGCTAATGACAACGCGGATGAGATTGAGAATGAAAATGAGCATGAAGATGAAAATGAAAAATGAACATGACAGTGACGATGAAGGCGGCGATGAAAATGAGAAAAAAATAAACTGAAAATGAGGAGGAAAATGAATATGATCATGAGGATGAAAATGAAAATGAGAATGAGGATGAAAAAGGGAAGGAAAATGAAAGGGATAATGAGGAGAAAAATAAGGAGGAATATGAGGAGGAATATGGGGAGGAACGAGGAGGAAAATGAGGAGGAGGGATTAGGATGATGGCAAGGTTAATGAGGATGATGAAGATGATGAGGATGAGGAAGGTGAGAAGGAGCAAGATGATAATGATGGTGATGACGAAGATGATGAGGATATGATTATGATGATGATGATGATGGTGATGATGATGATGATGATGATGCTGATGCTGATGCTGATGCTGATGATGCTGATGCTGATGATGATGGTGATGGTCATGGTCATGGTAATGGTAATGGTGATGATGATAATGTTGATGATGATAATGTTGATGATGATGGTGATGGTGATGGTGATGGTGATGATGATGATGATGATGGTGGTGGTGGTGGTGGTGACGGTGATGGTGATGGCGATGGTGATGATCATGATGAGGATGAAAACAAACATGAAAATGAGCAGGAAAATGACCATGAAAATGAACATGAAAATGTGGAGGAAAATGGATGAGGATGGGGACTAGGATGATGACAAGGGCAATGACAAGGATGAGGAGGAGGAGGAGGAGGAAACCAATATTGTTTCCAGGGGAGACCTGTGCTCACAAATGTTTCCGTGGCAAGGTTCGACAAAGAACCCCTGCTGAGAAAAAAACGGTTCTGCGCCAACGTCCAGCACGCCATATCAGCCAAAACAATTTGCTAATTTCAGACGCAGGTTTGGAAATAAGTCTGCGCACCTACATGTGCGGAAATTTGCGCTCACCCAACGTCGCTTGGTGGACATAAATTCCTTAGACCTTGTTCCCTAGACGTACGAAAAACAATACAGAATCATGAAGAAGTCTCACGCTGAGTTCATGCGCTAGATTCACCACATTTCTGGAAGGAAACCATGTATCATATAAATATTTCACATGTCTCTGCTCGGCACATCGGAAATGCCTACCGCCCCTTGCGCCAAAATCAGGACCTTCGGGTCCCAAATGCCCCTTGATGGGTTGAATAAACCAAGGGCGAACACTGACAGAATCCATCCTACACAGACCGCATATACGTTAGCATGTGGTTCTAACCCGTTTTCTTTATCATTTATCGTAACCTCAAAAAAGGACCCTAAAATTTTACCTTCTTGTTACCTTATTGCTACCTTGTTGCTGCCTTTGCTGCCTTATTGTTACCTTATTGTTGCCGTACTGTTACATTATTGTTACCTTAAAAATCCTAAATTGTTACCTTATTGTTGCCTTAAAAAGGGCTTAGCTATCATTTTTTTGACTAGCCCGAACCGTTTTAATCCACGACTTAAGGCCGTTGGCCCCACCCTCCTGTTCGAAGGATAATGGAAAAGCAAAATCGGGCGAAAGGAGAATCCATCTATGCAGAGGTGAAAGAAACACAAACAGTGCATACAAGACTCTATTGGACAGGAATTTATGCGCAAGCATCATTCTACACAGGAAAATTGGCAAATAACTATTTGATTCCGCAGATGACACATCATGCACCATTATTAGCCGCCAGGGTGTCCCAAACCAGTTTCATGTTTTCAATGGTCCAATTTCTTTCTGGGCCTGCCGACTCTTCAATTGGATTGTGTTTTGGGTACAGTTTAAAAATAATAAACAAAAATGACTTGATGTTGAAGGTGTGACTTGGGACTTCTCAGCACATGCCCCAGTAGTTTGAAACGTTTCGTTTCCAACATTTCAATCAAAGGCCTGATTTTGCGGAGAAGACCCTGCGAAGGAGCACCAACTACTTCATTTGTTCGTTGGTAAACGAATTTATTCGAATTGTTTTTATCAAAGTAGGCATTGCGCTAATGTAATTTTTCTCAAGTTTTTGACTTTAAAAGTATTCAGCACTTTCCCCGTACTGTTTGTGGTTTGAAGCGACTCTAAACCGTAAAGTAATCTTCTCATGATAACACACTTGTATTCTAGCAATGTCAATTTTTTGCTGCAGGTCGTTTTGTCCTAAGGCGTTTCAAAATTGGCATGGTGCTGAGATTCGTCGTCTCATTTCCTGTGCGGGATTCGTATTTCCCCAAGCAGTGTGGCACCCATAAAGGGTTCTTACGGTAGCTGTAAAGGCCCTATGTTTAATCGAGGTGGTATCCTTCGCGTCCGGCATTTTCCCCGTAAATTTCCAGACCAAATGGCCTTTGTGAAATGTCCATGCGGATTTCGACTACCAGGATCGCACAAAACAGTGGCCGCGAGATTCGTTTCCGTCATTTTGCCCTTAAAGTTGCATTAAAAAAGTGCGACGCGTCCATGTGCATTTTGACTGCGCAGGCTCGGACAAAACAGTTGTCGCGGCAGTCGCGGCCGACATTTTCCCTGTAAATTTCCACGCAAAATTGCTTTTGTGACATGTCCATGCATTTCGACTGCGCAAGCTCGCAGAAAACGGTGTCCCCGGAGGTGTCCCCGACCATTTTCCCCATCAATTTCCACACAAAATGGCTCTGACGACATGTCCATGTGCATTTCGACTGCGCGGGCTCGCACAAAATCAGACATCTCACACAGAAAGCTTGCGAAGACAGAGCTTGTACAGAGATCTTGCCAAGTGACCTCATATGGAGATCTTGTTCAGAGATATTGCCTACAGACCTCTTACAGAGATCTTACCTTGAGATCCCCTACAGAGATCTTCTGTGGAAATCTCTTATGGGAAAAGTCTTGCCAAAAACCTTCTACAGAGCTCTT